GAGCAGAGCAGCCGGGGAAGGAGGAAGAGAACCAGGTGCCCATCGCCGCCTCCTGCCCTGTCCCTGGTCCTTCCCTTGGCCTCAGCCACAGACTACCCTCCCGGCAGCAACCCCCACCCCCACCCGGGTCGGCCCCGCCATGCCCACCGCTCCCCCCTCCCCACCCCAGAGCTGCATCGACTGGAACCGGGAGGTGCTGAAGCGGGAGCTGGGCCTGACGGAGCGGGACATCATCGACATCCCTCAGCTCTTCAAGCTCCAGCAGGACTCCAAAGGGACACACAAGGCTGAAGCCCTTTTCCCAAACATGGTGAGGAGGTGGGCTTTGGGATCGGCCCGCCTTTGCCAATGGCCTGAAGTCCGGGAGGCCCGCTGGGCTCTGGGTGCGGGTCCAGGAGGGTTGGCTGTCTGCTCGCCCCCTTGGGGTTTGTGTGGCCCTATGCAGCTTACAGAGCGGCTTTGGGCATCTCACAACCACCCTGGGAGTCAGAGACTGTCATCACCCCCACTTGACAGAGGAGGTACAGAGAGGCGAGGTCTCTGGCACAAGAACACACAGCTGGCAAGAGGCGGGATTCTGAGCTGGGATATAAAGCCAGGGGTCTGGCTGCAGAGCCACGCTCTAACCACCAGGGTGCACTGCCCCTGTGGGCTTCCGTGCGGTGGGGGGCGCAAAGTAGGGGTGGAGTAGGGGGGATACAAGCAACAAGCAAGATGCTCTGAGGTTACGTTTGAGAGGGAATAAAGGTGGGGGCTCCTCTCCAGATGCAGGGGTCCTGGAAGGCCTCTGGGAGGAGGTGAGGCTGGTGCTGCGGCCTGGGTGGGATGCTCGCCTCTGAAGAGTGGACTTGAGGGGGATGCGCCTTTGTCAAGCACTTTTAACCGCGACCCCCAAGCACCGTGGTGAAGTGATCTGCTCTGTTTTCGCCATCCCGCTGCCCTGCTGCTGTCTCCTCAAAGGGGGCCAAGGGTCGGGCAGAAACTCCCCCAGTTCCGCTGGGCCCACAGCCACCCCTCCTGCCGGGCGGGGTTACAGTCCAGGGAGGAGCTGCTGGTCCCCCGCACAGTGCTGGTCAGACTGGCCTCCCCAGGGCCCTGGGGCTTCATGGCGGTGCCTCGGACCCAGTGGTTCGGGTTTTTTCTGTTTTATGCATTGAGAGGCTGCCAAGGATGATGTTTAGAACACGGGGCTCCTGGACCAGAGCAGGGAGGAGGGGCCGCCCCCCTCGCAGCGCTGAATAGAATTCCTTGGCCCCCAGCACTTTGTGCCTTCTCTGGTTGTGCCCAGCCAGCTTGCCCGGCTCAGGAAGGAAAGCTGCTGTCTGTGGCTGGGGGTGGGGGGGGCGTCTCGATGACGCCATCCGCCGTCTGTAATGCCTGAGGGCTGACTCCCACCTTCACTGTTCCGGGCCCCTGGAGGGAGCCTGAGCACTCGCCCTGCCGTGGGAGGCGGCGCATGGGCATGAAGCAGCAGAGAAATTGAGTGTGAGGCCCTCAGCTTGGGCTGTGTCTGAGCCATGACAGAGAATAAGATGCCCCTCAGTGACTCATGAGCCCTGGGGACTGACTCTGCGCTTACTACCTGCTGGCTCAGTGCTCCGCATACATGCTCTTATCTGATTGTTGGAGCAATGGAAATGCGTTTGGGCTCATTTTGCTGATGAGGCTCAGAGAGGTCAAGTGACTTGCCTGACGTCACACAGCTGTTGAGTAGTATTGCTGGGATTCAAAGCCACCTTGGCCTGGAGCCAACATCCTCGTCCTTTCGCTTCACCAGGCTGCTTCCCAATATCATGGAGGAAACAGTCATTTACATATGTTATAATGTACGGAAAGGGCTACAAAAGAGGTAGTCACTTATTCATCCATTTAACAGATACTTAGTAAGTGCCTGCTGTGTGCAGGCACCGTGCTGGGAGCTATGGGAGCACAGAGGAGGGTGACTAATTGTCAGAGTTTGGGGAATCATGGGCGGCTTCACAGAGGAGGTGGCATTTGAGCTGGGCCTTGAGTAATAGAGTTTGCCAGAAGGTGGCAGGTGGGGAAGGAGAGTATGGTGTTAAGAGCATGGACCCTGGATGCGACAGACTTGGGGATAAGTCCTAGAGAGCTGGCTGGCCTTCGGTAGCCCACTTTACCTGTGTGGGCCTCAGTTTCCTCATCCGTGAAGGGGGCCATCAAAGAAGAGGGGGTGCTCGGACAGCAAGGCTGGCTGCCCCTGACGGTGCCCTCTCTCTGCAGGTGAACATGCTTGTGCTGGGCAAGCACCTGGGCATCCCCAAGCCCTTCGGGCCCGTCATCCACGGCCGCTGCTGCCTGGAGGAGAAGGTGCGGTCCCTGCTGGAGCCTCTGGGCCTCCACTGCACCTTCATCGACGACTTCTCCTCCTACCACGTCCGGCACGGCGAGGTCCACTGCGGCACCAACGTGCGCCGGCAGCCGTTTGCCTTCAAGTGGTGGCACATGGTGCCCTGAGCCCGTCCTGTGACGTCCTCTCGCTCGGGAAGCTCCTGGCCAGAGGCGCTGGTCCCCTGCAGTGGGGCCCAGCCAGAGCTCTTGGGGACGTTTTGGCCCCCCCAGGGGTGGCCTCCCTCCCGGCAGTGGCTTGTTTCCTTGCCGTGTCCCGGCCCCTGGGACCCTCCTCTGAAGATCCCGAGATAGTCCTGGCTTTGCAAACTCAGTTCTGCTGCAAGAAAGCTTTAGAACCACTCGGTGCGCGCGCTCAGGCTGCCAGTCCTACCGTTCGTTCCTTCTCCTTCACTCGTCGTCATGCTTGAACTGGATGTTACAGGCTTGAAGCTGCTTCCAGGAGAGGTCGAAGGCCAAGGCGTGTCTTTTGCTCCTGGGCGTATATCTGGTCTATAAAACCTATGACCTCAGCCTAGCTGATTTTAAGCTTTAGCCCTGAGGGTGCGGCCCCTCCCTCCTCAGAGCTGCATTGAAGTCAGTTCCAAACAGCCGGCCAGGTGGACATCCCAAGACAGATGGATTGTTCACTTTAACGTGTGTGTATAAAATATGCTTCTTTTTATGTGTATTTCATGACAAAAAATAAAATGATAAAGATAGACTGGGCCCTCAGGCACGTGGGCAGGAGGGGCAAGTCCCGCAGGAGGGATGGTCCTCATGTCGCCTCAGCCTTCTCCGTAGACAAGTGACGTTACAAGGTCCTGAGGGCCAAGCTGGGGCTGAAGAATCGTATCCCCATTCATGGGTGTCCTTGGAGAAAAAGGGGACAGACGGGTCGTGCAAGAACCCAAGGGACAGACTGTCATTATCAAACACGCCCAGACATCAGCAAATTCTTTGTCCCTCCCATTTGTCATTTCTGTCCCACCAGCATGAAAGCCCCACCTGGTGGGCTCTTGTCCCTCGTGTTTGCTGCCGTGCCAGGGGCTCCCGAGAGCTGGCGCGGCACGCAGTAGAGCCGTGGGTTGTGTGGAATGAAGTCCTTAGTCCCCTCTCTGTCCTTTGGGATGTTTTCTTATATGGCCCTGACATAGGGATTCAATTCCTCCATAGAAAATAAAACCTGAAGACTCGAGATCTTTATAACTGAGGCCAGATCTTGGCTCCATGGAGCCTGAGATGCTCAGAAAACACCCAGAGGCGCTGCTTTCATGTGGTCTGAAGGAAGTAGGATGGTGGAACAGACGGACATCAAAACCCCCAGCCCTGACACCAAGGAAGGGGGGTCCATGAAACCTGGGTCAAAACGTGCTCCTCCTATGAGACCAGCTGCCACCACCCCAGAATTTGCTGGGGCAAAAGATGCAGGAGTGTCGGGGCCGCCCCAGTGGCGTAGTGGTTAAGTTTGTGCGCACTCTGCTGTGGCGGCCCCGGGTTCAGGTTCAGATCCAAGGCACGGACCTACACACCGCTCATCCAGCCGTGCTGTGGCAGCATCCCATGTACAAAATAGAGAAGATTGGCACAGATGCTAGCTCAGGGACAATCTTCCTTACCAAAAAACAAAAAACCATGCAGGAGTGTTTCCTGTGGACCAGAAAGGGGCCACACAGCACAAGAGGAAGCTGGTGTGAGGTTATCCCAGAACCTGACCCATAGGGCTGCCTGGAGCAGCGAGCGGCCTCAGCAGGCAAAGGCTCCAGGTCTCGCTGGCTTCCTGGGGCTGCAGAGGGACTAAAGACAAGCTGATGGCTACCGCAGACCAGCATCAAGGCAAACGTGCATGAGGGGGTGGGGGGCATCCGTGAAGGAGTCGTGGTGGGGCTCGGGGCGGCCACCTGAGAGAAAGCAGCAGCTGGCAGTCCTCGGAGCCGCCCGGAGCTCTCCCTCCCCTCCCTCCTTCCCCAGAAGGCACAGGGGAGGTTCCTGCAGCTGCTGTAACAAATCACCACAGACTGGTGGCTTCGAACAACAGGAATTTATCCACTCCCAGTTCTGGAGGCCAGAAGTCCCAAAGCAGCGTCACTGGGCTGAAATCAAGGTGTCCGCAGGCCGTGTTCCCTCTGGGGTTACAGGGGAGAGTCCACTCCTTGCCTCTCCCACCCGCTGCTGGCTGCATCACCCTGGCCTCTGCTGTGTGTCACACTGCCTTCTCTGTGTGCATCAAACCTCCCTCTGCGTCTCTCATAAAGATACATTTAGGGCCACCCAGATACTCCGGGATAATCTCCCCAGACTCTTGGTCACATCGCAAAGACTCTTTTATGTGAAATAACGCAGGCCCCAGAGATTAGGACCTGGGAGATTTTGGGGGCTCTTATCCAAGCTACTACAGGTCAGGACCCACCATTCCCAGCTGTGCAGGCAGAAAGGAAAGAAGGAAGCCAAGCACCCCTTTGCCACAGCTCTAAGCTTTATACCTCCGTTAAGCCCTAATGGGGAAGGGAGAGGACTTAGTTTTTTTTGCTGAGGAAGACTGGCCCTGAGCTAACATCTGTGCCCATATTCCTCTACTTTATATGTGGGACGCCTGCCACAGCATGGCTTGATGAGCAGTGCACAGGTCGACACCCGGGATCCAAACCGGTGAACCCCGGCCTGCCGAAGCGGAATGTGTGCACTTAACTGCTGTGCCACCGGGCCGGCCCCCAAGGTGTACAAAGTGTTGATTCGATACATTTGCACGGTGCCATGTGACTAGACCCGTTGTGGAGCTAACACCTCCATCTTGTCCCACAGTTATCATTTCTTTCTTGCGGAGGCAGATTTAACTGTATAAGACCAAGTATGGGGTTTTCTTTTGCGTGGGGTTCGACTTTCAAACTTCTGAATTGAGGTTGTTCGGAAACTGTTTCATGTCTGGCTCCCAGAAGCAGATTCTGAGAGGGAGATCTCCCCGCACGAGGTTGGGGGCGGTGCTCTCAGGATCCACACCTGGGAGCGGGTCGGGGAGCAGCAGCAGGTGATGAACCCGGACGTAGTGGCCGCGAAGGTTTCGGGTGATGCCCTGGGGTGCTCGGGCTGGGATGGCCCTCGGAGCCGTCCTGGATGAAGACAAGCAGCCAGCCTTTGCCCCCCACATTGGGTGTCGCTGCCCCCAAGGAAGGGACACAGCCTTGGGAATCGGCAGTCGGCGATTCCAGGAGGGGGACGTGCTGAGAGCAGCCAGGAGCCAACACTCTCAGCAGCTGGGGGCTGAGTGCCTCCGCCCTGAAGGGGGTCAGGTGGCACATCATGGCGTCCAGCACAGTGACCTGAAGTGACCACGGGCCGTGATTACCGAGGAGTGATTGCAGAACTCTCCCCATGGAAGGAGCGTGTGAGGAGCTGTGGGAGTCCACGTGGGGTGGCTTTATGGTTCCCAAGCCCTCGGTTTGCTTGGAGAGCCCTGTGGAAGCCCACTGGGTTATCTTTCTGAGGGCTGGGAGCCATTTAGCCATTTTGCCACACGAGAATTTATTGAGTACCTGCTATGTCCAGGACTCTCTTGTGGTGCTGGGGATTCAGTGGTGAACGAGAAGCCCCCTGGAGGGAGAGGGGACCCACTCCAGATCTCTCCAAGTCCCTCTCACGCCCAGAGGGGTCTCCATCCTCCAGGCTCAGGGGGTCCCTCCCCATTATACTCAGAGCCCTGGCACAAGGCCGGGCTGCCTGAGGGCAGGAGGGACAGAGCCCCCAGGCTGTTCTGCTCCAGACCCCAGGCCCAGCACTCAGCGACCCCTCCCCAGTCAGACCATCCCTGCCCTCTGCCCACCTCTGGCTGGCTGGCGTGTGAGAGATGGGTGGGCAGGTGGGCCAAGCCCTTTGTCGGGAAGGAACACACGTGCTGAGCACCTCAGCCTGATTAACTTTGCCGCTTTCAACCCAAGTGGAGGGGCTTTTAGGGTCTTTCGGGACAATCGCTGCCTCCAAGAGCCCCTAAGACAAAGCCACCCCTGACAGTTATGCTGTGTGCTTAAAATCTCCAAGGAGGGCTGTTTTAACTTTTAATCCCAAATTTACAAGCCTGGCTGACTGAGCAGTCTTCACTCAGTACCCAACTGCCGTCCCCCATGCTGTTACACACAGGGTAACAGCAGCCTCGTGTGTCAGGGCAAAAGACTGAAAACAAATGCTTGTGCTTGATGGTACAGCCCTGCGCGGAATACCATACAGCCATAAAAAGGATAAGGCCACTTTGTACGTGATGTGAACTGCTGAGTTGTACTATGAAGTGAAAAAGCACAGTATGGAATACTATGTACATATCCTGCCACTTATATAGAAACAAGAAGGAGGGGAGGATGCTCATACAGGTTTGCTTGGTCACTCATAACATCCATTGTAGATGCAGAAGAAACTGATGCCACTGGCAGCCTCCACGTCAGGGAACTGAGAGGGTGAGAGACAGTGAGAGGGAGATTGTTGCAAATTCCTTTTGAACTTGGAACTATGCGCACGTGGTACCTGTTCAAGGATAACCATAACACTCACTTCAAACATAAAACGAACACTGTTTCTGAGTTCGCTGGTAAGCCCCTTGGGCTGGAGCAGGAGTTCTCGTGTCTGTGCTCCATGGCTCAGTGGAGATGCAGGGCAGCTGGAGGCCTCAGCGCAGCACAGGCTTCTCCTTCCTTTCCTTCCACCAAAACGTGCCCCGCCCCCGCTGGGAGCTGGCACCGCAGCTGTGGACAAGGAGCTCCCCCTAATCACCTGGGGAAGGGAGGCTGGTTCCTGGACCACACCCCAGACCTGCAGGCCCTGGGATCTGCAACTCTAACAGGCCCCCCAATCAGTTTCGTGACCACCAGGGCTACAGAACGAGTGGGCCGGCACTTTGTGGCCACCTTGTCAATTTCCAGGAAACACACACCCTAGGATGGAGGCCCCAGAGCCTGGACATGCGGCCCCACACGGCCATCCTGACCGCCGCCCCTGGCACCCTCTGTGGATATTTGCTCCTGACAGCTTCCAGCTGAGTCAGCCCTCCAGTGCTGGTCAGGTTGACCAGTCCCACGCACCGGCTTCCCAGAGCCCCTATTGCTCCAGCCGAAGACAAGAGGCCGGACAGCCAGCCTCAGACTCCTCAGGTCTGCAGGCACCAGCTGCTTAATAAACTGCAGATGAAGGGCTCTGACTCCACCTGCTCCTCGGCTCGCCCCCTCCTCCCAGGAGGCCTCAATGGAGGAGATCAGCCACACCTGGGCAGCTGCTGAAGCCTCCTTAACAAGGGGGCGGGCTGGAGAGGCCCTGAGCCCATAAGAAGAGAGGGCTGGGGAGAGCCCCTGGGTTACCTGAGGCCACCGTGCTGAGTGAGGGCTGCAGTACAGGGCTGAGGGTGGTCAGCTTGGAGGGCTATGCCATGTCCTTCCAGAGCATCGTCCACCTGTCCCTGGACAGCCCTGTCCATGCCCTTTGTGTGCTGGGCATGGAAATCTACTTAGATCTCAGGAGGTGAGGAGCTGGGGGCTCATGGCTGGGGGGCGGTCTGGGCAGGGAGGCGGAGGCTGCCCTGGATCATGTGGGGTTCGCAGATTACCTCCCCACTCTGCATCTTAGCTTGTCATCCTGCCTCACCTTAAGGAGCCTGGTCTGGGTCTCTAAGGGTCTTCTGGTCCTGATGCTGCGGGATTCTGACCTGACTCCTGCCTCTGCCCTGAATGGGCTGTGGGGCCTTCGGAAAGTGCTTTGCCTTCCTAGGTACCCCCACCTGTGAAATGGGAGTGGCATTGGCTCTTGAGGCACCGTGAGGGTTAAGCGAGGGAGGCTCCTGTACGTTGGAGCCAGTGGGTAGGGGACTCGCTCCCAAGAAGCCCCATCTTCCCTGGGTCAAAGCACAGACCGCCCGAGTCCAAGGACATGTTTTTTTCTCTAAAGGGATCCCTTGTGCCCGAGACCGCTCTCCCCTCCTTCGCAGCTGGGAGTTTTTATAGACGAGATGCAGCTTTGGTAACATCTAGAGAGTCAGTGGCGGGAGGATGCGGGGGTCCTTGGAGCAGGGGATGGCAGGAGTAAGGCTGAGGCGTGTTAGGACCCCAAAACTGCCGTGCCCAGCAGGCCTTTGCCCCAACACCCGGGAGGAGGAGGAGGGGACCGGCCCCCACTGTGCAGGCTGAGTCCAGGCTGAGAAGACCCTTGTGCCCTAAAGTCTGTCTCCTTGTCGGGCAAACCAGGTGTGCCCCCCAGAAGTGCAAGTCCTTCACCGTCAGCAGCTCCCTGGGGGTCCTGGTCGATGTCCACAACTCGGTCCCAGTAATGACCAGGGAGGAGGTGGCCACCACCCTGTGGCCCCTGTCTGATTCCATGGACGTGCTAGTGAAGATGCTGTCCCCCAGCTCTGCCATCGACGGGGACAAGGTATACCTCGGGGGGATGTGAGGGGGAATGTCCCAGGGGAAGGAGCTAACACGACCCCTGGGGGTCTCCCTCCAACAGCTGGTGTTTCCTGGGCCCTGAGTCTGAGAAATGCAGCGCCAAGTGTTTTGCATGTCTGGTCTCATTTAATGATTGCGATAAACCTGTGGGGTGGGCACTCCATGGCCCCATTTTACAGACGAAGAAACTGAGGCACGGAGCGAGGCAGTGCCCCACCCAAGCCAGCAATCAGCAGAACTGGGGCTCAGGCTCAAGTGTCTGTCTCCCCCGCGTGCTTCTGACCACAGCTCCAGGCCGGCCTCCAAACCAGCTGCTTTCAAAGTCCGGCACAAAAGGTTTCAGCAGCATAACTCGGACAGGCCTTTTGTCTAGGGCTGGTCCTCCAGATGTGGAGACCTTAATGACGCTGGAGAGCTAACGTGTATTAAATGCATGCTGTGTACTAGGTATCTTGAGTCACATTTCAAGAAGTCAGCTTTATCCCCATTTTACGTACAGGGAAACTGAGGCACAGAGTGAGCTATCTCAACCTAAATAGTATCGCTAGAGTGGGGCAGATCCAGGATGTGAGCCCAAGTCCGTGCCCCTTACCCTGGGCCAGCAGTCTACCTGATGGGCACTGGGGTGGGGGGGTGGGGGTTGACTCCCACCTCGGAGAGCAGGCCGTCCCTCAGCCTGGGTCAGGCGTTGGCGGTGGAAGCAGAGCCCTCTTGCAGAGCGATTAGAACCACCAGGGACTTCGTGACACTCAAATCCAGGCCACACCCCCTCCCGATTAAGTCGACCTGTGGGGGTGGGCCCTGGCCTCTGCAGTTCGCAGACCTCCAGGTGACCCCAAGGTGAAGCTGAGGGTGTGACCGCTGGTGAGGCCCGTTCAGGACGGGGGACTCCTGTGGGCGGAACCTGCTGGAGTGGCAGAGGGTTAAGCTGGGGTGACAGATGGGCGGTTACACCCCGTTCTGCACTCAGTGCCCAGGGCAGGCAATTCCCTGAGACGAGTGGTAACTTGGACGAGACCTGAGCACTCACGCGAATCGAGGCTGTGACTGACGTGACCCAGCTGAGCCCAGAGGGCGGGAGGAGCAGTCACTGCCCAGGGCTCAGCGTCCGGCACCATCAGGGGCGGCCCACTGAGCGCGATGCTGGACCTCGGAGGACGAAAGCTTCCATTTAGGAGCAGGTGTCAGGTCACACATGTCAGTGTGGCCCTAGATAATGGTTGGTTCTCTGGTTTGCGGTGAAGGCCTTGTGGTCAAGGCCAATGGCTGCAGGGCAGGTCTTTCCAAACTGCCCAGGGTATAAAGGCCCCTCGGAAGCAGAGGCTGGTGTGGGACCCAGCAAAGACTGAGTCCCAGTTCCAGGCCCCACTTCCTTTGAGCGAGTGGCTTCACCTCCTGCAGGCCCCACTGCTTCACTGCCCACCTCTCGGGGCGACAGGTGAGACCCCAGGAGGGCAGGTGGGGAAGACAGGTGAACACTTGACTGTAGAGCCGGACAACCTGGCTCTTGAATCCAGTGTCCCGTTTCTGGCTGAAGACGGGGGGCAAGTCCCTTGCTTTCTCTGCCCTCGGGGGTAGAGCCCCCAGATGGGTTGCCGTGAGGCCTCAGTGTGGAAGCGCTTGGGGGACCCTGGCATGTTGTAAACAGGGGTCATTGCAGCTTGGTGACCCTGTACCCGCTCACAACGAGACACTGGAAGCTCAGAAGCTGTGACATGAGACCGAGGTCAAGCAGCTGGACTCGGGTCCACAGCCCTGCCCCTGTCCCCGCCCTCCAGGGTCTCCTGGGTCACGGTGCTGTCTCCACAGGTCTTGGTCTCGTACCACCAGCCCAATGAGGAGGTCCCGGTGGCCACAGCTACGCTCTACCTCACTGGCATTGGTGAGTGCTGCCCCCATGGCTAGAGGGAGGGGGGCTCCCTGTGTCCTGGAGGGACCCGCTCGACACAGCCACTCACATGGTCCCTCAGAGCTCAGTCACTTCTCTGCCACCCTCCCTCCCTGCTGACCTAACTCTGAGAACAGAGGCCATCGGAATGTGTCCCATCGTCCACCCCCTGCCTGTGGCTGGTGCCCACCTTCTGCCGCCTCTGCTACAGTGATGACGTGTCTGGTCCAAAGTTAATCCTGTCACACTGGATCCTTTCCCCTCTCATTCGAGAACATTCCTTCAATTCTTACTGTTGTAGGAAGCAATTACCCCTCCCCCCTCTCTTCTGGAGTGTTCTGGAACAAACTATAATGTCTATTGTCTTGATAAGAACAAGCTGTAACGCCTGTTCTCTTAAACCTGATTCTGTACTATCTTCAGACTCCACTTCCCCACCTCTCTGCCCCTTAGGAGCCACCTCTGCGTCCTCAGTTCCTCCTCCCTTTTCTCCTGAACCTAGTCAAGTCAGATGCCCACCCCCAACACTGCCCTCATCAAGGACCCTGACGATTTCTTCTTCCCGAGTCAGCGGTCGGCTCCATCTGCACCACCTCCGCCTGTCAGCATTTTACACAACTCGCTGTCCCTTCCTGGTGCATCTCAGCAGAAGCCATTCAGGGTCCTCTACCTCGGTGTCCCCTACCTGGTGGGCTGTTCCTCAGATCCCTTTGCTGGATCCTGTTTCCCACCCCTGCCTCCATCCCTCTAGCTGGTCAGGCCACAACCCCTGGGATCATCCCTGCTCTTCTCTTCGCCGTGTCAACCCATGAGTCTTGTCAATGTCACCTTCAGTTTAGCTGGAACCCAGCTGCTCACCTCCCCTGATGCTCTCTACCCGGTCTGAGCCACGGCCATCTCTTGCCTGGGTCCCTGACAGGCCCCCTGGGGTGTTCCCCACTCTGTCCTTGCCCCTCCAACGTTCCAGTCTTGATTCGGCCCCCGGAGCGGCATATCTTTAAAAGGCTATCGGATAACATCTCCTCGGGTCCAAGCCTCCCACTGCTTCCACGTTATCAGATTAAAGCCAGCGCCACTGTTACTCTCAAAGCCACCTGGGCCCTGTGGCCCCTTTCTCTAGCTCACTCTGCTCCAGCCACGCGGGTCTCTTTGACCCTTGAACTGCCGCCTGGACTTCCTGTTCTGATTTTTTTTTACCCCGGATATCAACACAGCTGCCTTTCTTGCCTCCTCTGGACCTCTGTTCACATTGCAGTTTGCGAGATTGATCACCTAAAACCGAAGCACCCCACCCCCCGCTTCCTTGTTTCCTGCAGCACTTTACCATTGGGCGTCATGTGAATTTTACTTATTTCTTCGTCCCCTGCTGTGCATACACACATGCCCCTAAATTTGAAGAAGATGGGGCCTGTCCTGTATGCTGCTGTGTCTAGGACCTGGAACAGTACCTGGTCCGTGGTGGGCATCCGGTCCCTGAGCATCTGTGCCAGATGCTGAGTGTACAGCAGCAAACAAGGTCTGTTCCAGGGCCCTGACATTCCAGTTGGGATACAGCATGTCAGAGGATGAGCTATGAATGATGATAAAACCAGGGTGAAGCCATCCAGTGGTCAGCTGTGGGGGGAGGGGGGCCACAGACAGGAAGAGGGGCCTGCTTGGGCTGATCCTGGATCTAAGCTCTAGAGAGGCTTGGAATTGGTGTGTACTGAGCCCTTCCTATGTCTTAGAGCGTCAAGAGCTTTCCAGAAGGCTAGGCAGGTGGGCCTTCCAGGTAGGTATCACCTGAGTAGAGGCCAAGAGGCAGGAGGTGACGTCACGACCACAGTGGCCTTATCTGGTGAGCTCCCGAGAGGCTGGGGGAGACACGTGAACACTTGGGCCTCTCCAGGCTTGCTCATAAGCAGTCTGCCTCTGAGGAACTTCCTTCTGCTAAGCCGACAGCAAGCCCAAAGGGCCAGGTGGCCCCAGTACCAGCCTTGGGCAGCCTGGGGGTACCTGCAGCCTCGAGGCTCCATCCACAGGTCTAGGTGCTGAGACCATCCCCCCCACCCTGTTGCAGCTGTCTCCCTGGACGTGGATGTCTACCGCAGAGGGCAAGTCGAGATGGCAAGTGACAACCGGGCTAAGGTGAGGCTGTCAGGGGGCGGGTGCAGGCCAGGGGCCTGAGCCAGGTCTGCCCACAGACCCCCTATTTGGACTTCAGAGTGTCTTAAGTCAAACTGCTGCAGTACAAACCAGAACTGCTGAAGTCCATTCTAGCTTTTCCAAAGAACTCGAATGTGTGACGACACTGGGCTCATGTCCTAGCCTGGCTGCGTCATTGACTAGAAAGAGGGTTTGCTGCCCCCTCCAGATGGGATGTGCCTCCTGCAGGCTGCCTCAGTGCCTGCTTCCCCTGACACTGAAACAAGACGGGAAGCCGGGAAGCCACACTGGCACAACTTGCCTGCCATGCCTGAACCACGTGCCACCCAGGCCACAAACACATGTGAGCCACGCCTGAGCAACACCACAGACATGCATGAGCCACACCTGAACCATGCGTGAGCTTTTCTCCCTTCCCGAGAGGCCCACGTGTCTGACCTTCCTGGTCCCATAAGCGCTTGAGTTGGCGAATTCTGATCAAGGTCCCTGTGGCCCTGGAGGAGGGCTTGGCTCTGCCCCCGATGTGGGGTAGCATCTGGGAAGCGGGATTTACCCAGCTTCTCTCTGAACAAACATTGCCGTCTTCTTTGCAGAGAAGCTGGGTCTGGGGCCCCAGCGGTTGGGGCGCCATCCTGCTCGTGAACTGCAGCCCGGCTGACATGGGCCAGCTCGCAGACAGGAACACCACGAAGGCGTTCTTCCCAGAGGGTAGGAGAGAACTGGCCACGGACCAGGGACGGCCACCTTTCCTCCTTGGGCTCTGCCTTGCCCTGGGGCATCACTGCCCCACCCCGCAGCAGACACAGGTTCCAGGCTGAGGTCCCCTCTCTGGGTTGATCCAGTCTCTTGTCATGGCTTAAAGCTTATAACTGGGAAGAAACGGCCACATGGCCCCATGGGAAGAGCACGAGCTCTGATGTCAGATAACAAACAGTTACTTCCTAGCTATCAACTTGAGTGTGTTAACTTCCCTGGTCTTGTTTTGCGATATGTAAAATGGGGAGGATACAGTTGGCCTCACAAGGTGGCTGAGAAGACTAAATGAAGACACAAAATGGGTATGCGGGACTCTTCCTAAAAATCTTCTCGTAGCCGGGGCAGGAACACTGACACTGTCAGGCTCTGGTCCTGACCTAGCTTCTAGGTCTTAGCAGCAGAACGGGATGGCCTGGTTCTTACCACGGCTGGAGGAGACCCCTCGCTGAACTGACCGTGCCAGGCCCTGTTCTAGGTGTCTGTGGGGACCGTGGACTCCTTACAACCGCATGGGGTAAATGCCAGCCTCGCTCAGAGTGGACCCTGGGGATGGCAAGTTGCCTGTGGCCAGTAGGGAGCAAGTAGCACAGACAAGATGCGGACCTGGGCCAGAGCGGGAGCCAGGGGGTCCTCACAGCTCCGACATACAAGCCCCCACCCCAGCCCCTGCTGCTCCTCCCTCCACCCCGGGGGCGCTGGCCTCCAGAAGCCCCTGAACCTTTGCCTTGTCTTTTGCCCAGAGATGAAGAATCTGTCCCAGATGACGCTGAGCGTTCAAGGGCCCAGCTGCATTTTAAAGAAACACCGGCTGGTCCTCCACACCTCTGAGGAAGAGGCCCAGAGGGCGAGAGTCTACCGGCCCCAGAGTGAGTGTTGAGCTTTGTCTGCTCTCTCAGTGTACCAGGGCAAGTTGTGGCCACACCTCCTCCCAGCAGTGTCCCCGTCAGAAGCCTGCTGGGCACCTAGAGCCGCAGGTCAGGGTCTGTTGTGGCTGGCCTTGTGTCCCTGGGATTCTCTGGCTGCCAGCTTCACCACAGGCTAAGTCTCTGCACGTGGGGGAGGTATTGTACCTCCAAGCCCCTCTCCCCAGTGGAGGCGATGATGGTGCCTATCCTGCAGGATTTTCACAGCTGGAAGAGAAATTCCTATTAGCTGAAATGGCAGCTTCGCCTTATACAGATTAGATGACATCTTCTCCCAATTACTCCCACCAGAAGGAGCCATCTTTTCTTAACTGACACCCCACTACGTTAAGTTTCTAGAATTCAGAGGCCAAGGAGCCAGAGTAGCAGCTATGTCAGCGCATCCCTCCCTGGCACCACACCTGCCCGTCTTCGGCCCTAACCAATCTGGCAGACAGGTGATGTGTCTTTATTCTATAGATAAAGGTGTAAGGCCGTTGGTACATAAAGTGGACATGTCCAATTCCCGCAAATTGTCCTTGAACAAACAAGTCTTTTGACATCGCTTAACTGGTTCAGTATTCAGTAACTCTAAATTCCTCAAATTGAGTCTTAAGTCTTTGTCTCTGGAGGCATATGCCAGGATGCTGCCTTCTTTTAAAAGCCAAGCTGAGCTTCCGCTGGGCCATTGGGAGCCCTTGGTTTGCGCTGGACCGTCTGTCCACCTCGTAAGGCCGCCTCGCTGCTGCCTCCCTGTGCTCAGGGCCTTAGCTCCACGTCTTCCACTCCATCTCCTCCGCAGACCAGAGGTCACGGCTGGACTTGGAAATGACTGGAAATAGCCAGAAAAGGCCGCCCAGGTTGGACGTGGTCCTTCTATATATAGGCTAGGAGTGAGCCTTAAAAACCCGAGTCCAGGCCTGGTTCAGGCCACGATGGCTACTCTGGCCTCATGATGCCCACCGAGTACAGACCACTGAGGTGGGCCAGGCAGTACTTGGAGCCCACCCAGGAGGGCAGCAAGTCAGGGAGCCTGCTAAAGATGCTGCACTGCATCCCATGCATCGAGCTCCCTACTGCCTCCCACTTATCCAAGGTTCCAGGGCAGGAATACACTGCACACTGTACGTCAACATGCCCTCCAGGTGATCCTGAGGGGAGCTGCAGTCTGAGGACCACCAGTTGAAAAGATAAAGCAAAGGGGCCTGAGAAGAAGTTTCCAGAGAAATGGAAAGCACGAGGTTCTAGAAACAAAAGGAAGCCTTTTGCAAAGGCAGTGATCGGCCATGACCAGTCTGTTGAGAGACCAAGATGCCAATCAATGGTGATGTCTTGGTTTTCAAATTAACGGTTCTTAGTGAGTCTGATAAGAAGGGTGGGGCTAAAAGCCAGACTGAAGTGGGTGGCACAGCGAACACTGGCCAGGGAGGGGTTTTCCACAGAGGGAAATGTGTGGAGGTAACAACTGGGGGCTGGCACGGGGGGGCAGCATCTGAAGGCGGCAGAGCAGAGTACAGCTGTGTGCAGACGGGACTGATCCAATGGAGAAGTGGACCCAGGGGGAGAAAGGTGTAGGCACGGGTGATAATACTCAGAAGAGAAGACAGGAAGTGGGAGAGCTAAAGGACCCGAATGGAATAATAGTGTTTCTGAGGTGTGTTGGGGCCTCCCTCTGAGGTTTGGTCATCTCCTGAAAGGAGTTCTTTCAATGTGGTGGTTTCTCAGCTGCTCAGACACAAGAGTTTCACAGACTCGGTTTGACCAGAGTTGAGGTCTCCAGGTGGGAGCTGACGGCCTGTGCAGGGAGCGGTTACAGTAACGCATCTCGGGATGGGAGGAGGATGAAGAGGAGAGAGTGGAAGGCGGGAATCCACAATGGGAAGGTTTGGGGCTGGGTTGAAGAATCGCTGAGATGGGAGTGTAGATGAGCTCAAAGACTGGAAGATGTCAGATCTGTTCTAGAGGTGATTTCTGGGCCATGAGCACTGAAATCGGCATCTAAGATGGCGCAGAATTCCAGTTCATTGAAATAAGGGTAAAGAAAAGAGCAAACAGTCTGGATGGTCTGGTTGGTTTGGTTATGGTGTAAATAGCAATGACCACAAGAGTGATGGAGATAAGCCAGCACCAGAACAATCCACAAGGATGGTGAGGATGGTAGTGAGGTGCAACAAGGAAGGGGGCAGGTGGCATTATTTGATAGTATGCCCTTCAAGGGGTCTAGGATTCTTTTTTTTAAAGATCTTATTTTTTTTCCTTTTTCTCCCCAAAGCCCCCTGGTACATACTTGTATATTCTTCGTTGTGGGTCCTTCTAGTTATGGCATGTGGGACGCTGCCTCAGCGTGGTTTGATGAGCAGTGCCATGTCCGCGCCCAGGATTCGAACCAACGAAACGCTGGGCCGCCTGCAGCGAAGCGCACGAACTTAACCACTCGGCCACGGGGCCAGCCCCTAGGATTCTTGAAGAATGAAGGGATGGTCTGGAAGTGCCGAGGAGGAACAGAGGGTACCTGGCCCACCTCTAGGCCCAGTGGTATGAGCAAGGCAGAAAAAAAGAAGACAGCTCAAATCAGCGTTCACTCTCTGCCCTGAGCTCCAGCTCTGGGGGGATAAACACGTTACCTGCTCTCGAAGCCTAGGGCAGATGGAAAGAGAGATGGACAGACAGCCAAGGACCAAGCAGGGGCTTCTGGTCTGGAGGTAGGGAGAGTTAAGAGGGAGCTGAGCTGAGAGCTGAGTGGGAGCAGGGCCAGCCCTGTGAGGACGAGGTCTGGAAGGGCCTTCTAGATAAAGGTAACCATGTTGTGCCTGGGTCACAAGGCTTCTGGCTGCCTTTTCTCCCGCCTTTTCTGTGTAAGGGGGATATAATTACAGCACCTGCCTCAGCGGGTGGTGAGGATGCAAATGAGTCCACAAGCTTCCATCGCGGTTCCTGGGATATGATGAACCCACCATGGAAAGTCGACCATGCTTGAAAACAAGCAATGAGGTCAGAGAGAAGGCCCCCAGAAGACCTGCTGGTAAGGGGCCTGGGGCCGGTGGCCTTGGGATGCCCACCCCACCACCGCCCCGTGGTGAGTCACCTTCAGGCAGAGGGGCCATGGGGAGCCCAGGGCCCTGGCGCAGTTGAAGGTGCTGGGCCTGTAGCAGCTCTGGAGGGGCCAGGTGGTGGCCAGCCACAGCCCAGTCCGCGCAGGGGGAACCCCACGGCACACCAAGCACGCCAGCTGCAAACCTCTGCGGCAAGTCACGAGGCCTGTGCCGCTGTGCTGGGGAAGTGCAGGGATGGGGGTGCTGGTGGAAGACACCCCCGTGTCCAGTGTCACCCCCTCGAGGCCTGGCTCGGGGCCTGCAGTGTGACCTCCAGACAGGCTCGAAGCAGAGTCCATGCCAGCGCCCTCCCCACCGGGGCTGTCCGGCTGGCCCAGCCCACAGGGCCGGCAGCAGAAGCACGAGGACCGCGGCAGCACTCCCAGGGCCGTGCAGAGGCTTCCTGCAGAACCGCCAGAGCCTGAGTCCGCCTGGAGAAACACAGCGCCCACTGGGGCCACGGTGCCGCCAGCCAGAGCAGGAGTCCGGGGAAGCGGAGCAGGGCCCGGCCTGTGTCCAACTTCTGCGATGAGGCTGCCAAGCCCGCCTTCGCATGTGGTTTCTCACCTTTAAGGCTTTTTTGTGACATTCCCCCAAAAGCTGGACGAAGCGTTGAACTGCCACTACGAGCCTTCAGAGAGCCCCTGGAAGGCAGGCGTGCTCATCTGAGTTCCAACTCCCGATGTGTAATAGTTCTCTGAAGCGTATTGGTGGGTGACCGGCCCTCATTTGTGAACAAGTGTCTGGTTGGCCACTAAGCCCTAAACTCCAGAAACGTAGGGACATAAAAGCCAGCTTGGCTCCCGCTCCCCTGGAGCTCCCGGCCTGGCTTCTGACCTGAAGACGAGCCACCAGGTGTGGCTTGACCATCAGGGGTGGGGACTGGCATAAGCCCACTTCAGCTGCTCTGTCCCTTCTCTCCTAGAAGATGGCTCCAGCACCTTCGAGTTGGTGGTGGGGCCCGGCCGGCACACCTACACCCTGCCCCCCCTCGAGAGCCCCTTGAAGGAAACCTTCTACGTGGAAGCTGTGGAGTTCCCGTCCGCCAGCTTCTCGGGCCTGATCGCCTACTCCGTCTGCCTAGTGGAAGAGCCTCCGGACCCAGTATGTCCCTGAGTCGACAAGACATTCCTGGAGCAGGGAGGTGTGGGAAGGAGACACTCACGGCGGGAGGAGAGGGGAAGACAAGGCTGGTGGGCAGAGCTGGGGCTCCAGGCCACCTCTGGGAGAAAGAGCTGCAGGGGACAGGTGAGGGCCCGGGGGTGGGCTGGCTGAGCAGCTGGAGGCCTGGAGGGAGCCGGCGGAGGGTAGATGTGGAACGAGGTCACCAACAGGACCTTGTCTTAAATCGCAGTCAATTCCAGAGACCCTGGTGTACAAGGACACCGTAGTATTCCGGGTGGCTCCTTGCATCTTTATTCCCAGCACCCAGATGCCTCTAGAGGTTTACCTGTGCAGGTGAGAACCCCTCAGGCTGCTCGTGTCAGGTCGTTTCCATGCTGGTACTGTCTTCTGTCTGTCTGCATGGTGGGTGGTGAGGACGACTAGACTTCTCACTAGGACAGTGAAATCCTTCGACTTGAGCTGCCTGGTCCCCAAGACAGTCGTTCGCTGCGTGTGTGAATACTCACAATGCCAGGTCCTTATGGGGAGGCAGACAATAAACAGCGTGGCTTCAGGGAGCATCAGGGGCTCTAAGGCAGGGTAACGGGGAGGAGAGGCAAGGACGAGAGTGTGTCCAGAGACAGCAAGGAGGCCTTAGAGCCGGAAGAGACAGGTGCGAGGAGGAGGAAGGCGCCAAGGTGAGCAGGGCTTGGGGGCCTGTGAACCCGGGCATAGCCTCTGGGGCCGTAAGAGACCCCAAATGCAATGGTTTCAAGTCAACTTCCTCTGACCTGGGTGCCCGCAGGTAGGAGGGTGGCACTGCTCCCCCACTGTCACTTAGGGACCCTGGTTCCTTTCAGTCTTGTGACAATGCTCCCCCTGAGGCAGCACCTTCCTCAAAGGGGAAGGGTCACAATCCAGACAAAGCTGCCCATCTGTCGCTGCTGGGGTGTGGAAGTCTCCAGAACCACTGCCTCTCGAGTGCCAATGGCCTGAGGAGGCACAGGGCCACACCCGACTGCAGGGTGGCCGGGAACGGTCTCGAGCCAGGTGGCCATGTACCCCGGGAGGAGGGGAGGGAAGACCCTGGTGGGCAGAATGGATGGGGAGCTGTCAGGTTCTGTCTACACGACGACTCCGGCCACGTGGAAAACCAGGGGCACAAACGAGAGGCAGGAACCAGGTCAGCTGCTGCAACTATGCAACCAGACACGGCAGTGGCACGGGCGGGCGGTGGGGCACAGTGGTTAGAGTCAGATTGCTTAGAAGGCAGACCTCCCACCTGGTTAGTTGACGCAGAGGGTGCAGAGAAACAAGGGTACCCCTGGTGAATGGTGGTGCCATGGTTCTGGAGACTTAAAGCTGGACGCCCCCACTGGGGTTCTACGCATCTGGAGCCCAAGGGAAAGTCTGGAAGCTGGAGGCTAGTCGTAGGGCCCCTGGCACGTGGAGGGTGTTCAGAGCACAGACCTAGCTGAGCTCGTCTGAGGAGTGAGCGTATGCGGGGAGACCCTGAGAAGTGAGCTCTGAACAAGAATCCAGCAAAGGTGGGGCGGGCCCCGTGGCTGAGTGGTTAAGTTCACGCATTCCGCTGCAGCGGCCCAGGGTGTCACTGGTTCTCATCCTGGGCACGGACATGGTACTGCTCATCAGGCCACGGTGAGGTGGCATCCCACATGCCACAACTAGAAGGACGTGCAACTAAGATATACAACTCTGTACTGGGGGGATTTGGGGAGATAAAGCAGGAAAAAAAAAAAAAGTGGTGACAGTTAGCTCAGGTACCAATCTTTAAAAAAAAAAAAATCCAGCAAAGGAGCCTGGGAAGGAAGAGGAAGTTAAGATCCAAACCAGGAGCGTGGAGACCCGGAGGCTAAGGGAGGGTGATGCTGGGTAAGGGCCTCCTGGGTGACACCCCGAGAGAAGACTAAGTTGTTCCCAGTTTGGGAAGATAGAGGTCACTGTGCGGAGGGAAATCGTGCATGGTGGGTGTGAGAGCATGAGGGGTTCAAGTGCAGGAAGAATGGGCAGGGCGGGCTTCGCAAAACTCCAAAGAGATGGTCTGAACGAGAGAAGCTAGAAAGGGCTCTGGGGCTGAGCGAAGGCTGGTTTTTTTGTTTTGTTTTTTTAAGATTTTATTTTTCCTTTTTCTCCCCAAAGCCCCCCGGTACATAGTTGCACATTTTTAGTTGTGGGTCCTTCTAGTTGTGTTATGTGGGACGCTGCCTCAGCGTGGCCTGATGAGCCGTGCCATGTCCACGTCCAGGATCTGAACCAGCAAAACCCTGGGCCGCCAAAGCAGAGTGTGCGAACTTAACCACTCGGCCACGGGCTGGCGCCCCAGCGAAGGCTGTTTTTAAGGCAGGGAGCAAAGAGTAATGCTAACAGGATGACCTGGCAGAGAAGGGAGGATCTGATCGGAGGGAAAAGGCAATTGCAAGAACCGAGCTGGTAGGATGGGCGTATGATGGGGATCCAGGTCGAATCGGCCTTCATGGCTATGGGGGCAGCTCACCTGGACGTCCCCTTGACTGGGGAAATGTTAGTGGGATGGCTGTCCGGTGCTAAGGACTCATTTAGGTTGAGTTCGAGAGAGACCAGTCACCGTGGGCTTTTCTGTGACTATTTCCAGTGACTTGAGTCGTAGGGAAGAATAAACATGGAACTGAGTCTAACCGGGCTTGAGGTTTTGCCAGGTGAATAGGCTCAAGGTGGAGGGACAAGGGTCTAATTTCTACGATGCATCATAGACTCAGAGCTGGGTAAGGAGGAAGGTGAAGAAACAGCATGATGGGAATAAAAGCAGCCAAGGGCCAGAGGCCCCGTGAGGTCAAGCTGCCCGCCCAGGGACTAGACGGAGCGAGAGGAGAGGCAGGTGAGGCACCAGGAGTTCCATCAAGATCTGCGAGGCGGCGCGACCGCTGGGAGGGGAGGCTGAGCTAGAGTAGAAAATCAGACCTTGTCAAGTCAAAGGGGCCACGACGGCCTGGGTGCAGCAACACATGGCAAGGGGGACCTTTACACTTCCACCAGGCCCAGTGGGTAAAGAAGAAAGTACAGCTCTTCCATGCGGGCTGCTAGGGAGGGGGTCCTCAGAGGAATGCCAGTTTTCAGAATGGGAAGGTAAAAGGAAAGAGTTCAAGGAATTTTGCTGATAAGATATTCAAACACAGATCTTCTTTGTCTTTTGTATCTGAAAACAGAAGTTCACTCACAGGAGGCACCTGCTGAAACCCTAGTCATCTAAGACTCTCCCATAGGAGTGGTATTCAGGCATGGCTTGACCCAGCTCAGCCAAAGATGGCCCATGAGACTGGGGCTGTACCCTTTTCCCCCCGTACCCATCCTCAGACTGTTCCAGACCTTGCTGGGCTGGTCAGCTCCCTGTTGCCTCGTCTGTGTAGACCTGAGAAATAGGTTCTTTAGAACAGTAGCATAAAAGAGTAGTGTAAGTTTTGGTCCTGGAACTGGACTGGAATCCCAATTTTGACACTTCCCAACAGTGAGACCTTGCTGGCATCAACTCCTGGGTATCTGTTTGTAAAATGGGTGGTCTTAACGTCAGCCTCAAATGTTACTGTTTGTCCCCAACAAGGGGCAGATGGCTCTTGTGGTCCCGTGAGCCTACTGCGCGTGACAGCACTGAGGTCCCAGGGTTCAAGACCCACCCCTGCCACCCACGCAAACGTAACCACCTCATTGGCCAACTCAAGGGGGCACCCAGCTGCTTGGCCTCTTGGGAGCATACGGCCCCTCCAGGAGAGAGCGAGCCCTCTTGGGTAGGCTGAGGCGGGAGAGCCTGGGGTAGTTCCCAAAAGGCCTGGGGCAGCGTGACTGCAGGGTGGGGACAGCAGGGACTGACACTGGCAATTCTTGTCCTGACTCTGCCATGAGCTAAACCGAGTGACGTTGGACAAGACACACTCTGAGCGACCAGCTTGTGCTCCGTGAGGTGGGGGGACAGCCCCTCTGCTTACCTCACGGGCGGGGACATAATCTCTTCTGACCAGAGGAGGTGTGCCCCTCCCCTGAGACAGCAAGGTCGCGACAGTGGGGGAGCCTCGAAGGCACCTCCAGAGCCGGCTTTTCTCCCGCGGCAGAGAGCTGCAAGTCCAGGGTTTTGTGAACACAGTGATGGAGCTGAGTGAGAAGAGTAACAGCCAGGTGGCATCTGTCTACGAGGACCCCAGCCGCCTGGGCAGGTGGCTCCAGGTAATGCCCCACCTGGGGAAACCCACCTGTGGGGGCGGGGCAGGGAAGATGCGGCATGTGGTGCCTACGATGAACTTTGCAGGCTTCTGTTCAAGCTTCCGGCCAAACTAAGCCTAGACAGAGGCGTCTTTGCCTTTAGGACTTCAGCTGGAAGCTCAGCCAATAGGACTTGCCCAAGTCTTAGCCACTAAGGGATAAAGCTTAGAGTCCAACTTCCTCCTATTTCATGATGCCCCTGTTCAAGGCCACAGAACAGCTCATCCTAAGCCCCAGGCGTCGAAGGGTCTGACATCTACAGCTAAAGGCTGTCGGAGCCGGGCCCTGCTCCAGGGTGCAGCCCGACTCTGGCAGAGCGGGAAGCCTTGAGGTCTGGTGCTCCGTTCTGCCCCACGTACAGCTGAGTGGTTACCATGTGCTAGGCATCATTCTAAGCTCTAGAGGCTAAAGGGACCAGACTGGTCCTGCTTTGGCAGTGAGAGAACTGAGCGCCAGGAAAGCAAGCCTGCCCGATGATACAGTGAGTTCCTAGACCGACTAGGCGGTTTGGGTGGTCAGGAAAACCTTCAAATTCGGGAAACAAGGAGCTGGCGAGACAAAGATTGGGGTTCAGGGGGTAGATTAGAAGCAGGAGCCCTTCGGGCGCAGGAGAAGCTGACTGAAGCTCACCATGTGGGGTGTTCTTGGAGGACGTGAAGAGAGCCCAGTGAGGCTGGATCAGAGTGAGCCAAGGTCAGAGGTGGGTGGGAGCCCAATTAGGTAACGGGACCTTTTAGGCCAAGGTGGGGAATAGAGAAGAATCCACAGCCAGACGGGATGACCTGGACAGCACGAATCAGGGGTATGAATGTTCTGATTTCGATTTTGGAAAGACTCTCTGGCTGAGAAATACAGAGAACAGGTCTGAGGAGAGGGCAGGAGCAGAAGAAACTGGTCGTAGGGCATTGCAGGACTTCGGGGAAGAGCTTGTGGTGGCCTCCCCCGAATGGGACGAGGGAGGAGTTCCCTTGGAACGCATTTTGGAAATAAAGCCAATAAGGCCAGTTCCTGGATTGGGTGCAGAAGATGAGAGAAGAATCCAGGTGACTCAGTTCTAAACTTGAGGAAGAGAACAGGTCAGGGAAAGCTCCCAAGGAAGGGTGATGTCTGAGCTAAGTCTTGAAGGCCGAGCAGGAATTGGCAGAAAGAAGGGGCTTCTGGAGGCAGCGCGTGTACAGGCATTGTTGTGGCTGGCGAGCCAGACGCAGGCAGGAAAGCAGCTGGCGGGGCGGGGAGAATTCTCGCCTTGTTTTCCTGTCTCCTCCAGGATGAGATGGCCTTCTGCTACACCCAGGCCCCCCACAAGACGATTTCCTTGGTTCTCGATACCCCTCGGGTCCTCAAGCTCGAAGATTTCCCCATGAAATACTCACTGGTGCGGGGCTCGGTTTGGCTGATCTGAGCTCAGTCTGGCCTGCCAGGCCTGGTGCCTGCCCAGAAGGGCTGGGCGCCAAGGGAGAAGGGCCCAGGTGGCCTCTGGGGGAAGCGGCTGAGGGAGGCGACCTTAGAGTCGGGGTTAGGAGTAAGCCTGGGGCTTGAAAGCTTGCCCCTCCTAACGTCCCTGTCCTGGCTGCTCTCCTTCCAGAGCCCTGCAGTTGGCTACAGGATCCAGCACACTGAGGACCACAGGGTGGCCAGCATGGACTCCATTGGGAACCTGACAGTGTCCCCACCTGTCACGGTCGGAGGGAAAGAGTACCCCCTAGGCAGGATCCTCATTGGCAGCAGCTTTTACCCCAGGTGAGGCAAGGAGCCAGGTGGTGGCCAGACGCCTTAAAACTAAAGGGACCCTGGTAGTTTACCTGGCTCCCCCCGACTCCCGTATGACTCGGCAAGCCACCTGCTCTGAACCATTCCTTAAGCTGTCAGGGAAGGACATTTGAGTCGTCTGATTCATGTAGAAAGGTGGAAAAAGCAGACACACTCCTCATTCCTTGAGTGGTGATTCTAGGGTTTAAATTTAAGCACCCCAAATTCAGCTGGCCTATTGACCCAGCAGGATGTCATTTCCACAAGATGTGTGGCTAGACTTCTTGGTAGCCATTAATTTAAAGCCAGGAAATACTTGTGTCCCAGAGTTCAGTCTTTATCTAGAATCACTTGGCTCAGTCCTAAGTTGGGCCAGAGTTAAGGGGATCCCATTAACACCCCCCAGGGGACCAGTCACGAGAGCCAGGGCAGCCAGTCACCTGAAGGTAGCCGGACATTCACCGAGTTGGCAGCCAACCTGGGCCATGCTGGCTCAAGGGCTGTCCTTCCATCTTCTCCTCAGCAAGGAGGGCCGGGACATGGGCAAGGCCCTCCGGGACTTCCTCTATGCACAGCAAGTCCAGGCGCCGGTGGAGCTCTTCTCAGACTGGCTGATGGTCGGCCACATAGACGAGTTCATGTGCTTCATCCCCACCCAGGACAAGCGTGAGGGTGACAAGGTCTGTGCTGGCGGCTGGAGAGGGTGCACCCCGCCTTCATTTGGGGCCCCTTGGAAGCTTCTGGAGGGGAAGCTAGCGTCTGACCCGAGTTCTTCGTTTCCCAGGGCTTCCGGCTGCTCCTGGCCAGCCCTAGCTCCTGCTACCAGCTGTTCCAGGAGAAACAGAAGGAGGGCTATGGTGACATGCACCTGTTTGAAGGGGTCAGGGCAGACCAGCTCCTTTCTAACGGTAAGGGATCCGGGGTCCCCCCGCAAGAGAGCAGAGGCCAGTCGCGCCTTCCCCAGACGTCCTTCCTAGAGAGGCATTTTTCCTTCATTCTTCTTGGTACAAAGGATCCCAGGGAAGCATAAAAGTGTAACATGTACCACATTAGAACATCGTCTTCTACTTTGGGGCTGTTCTAGGGATGCTGGGAGCATGTAGGCTGATCAGCCGCAAGTTCCGGGATGGCTGAGAGGCTGCAGAACGTGTGCAAAGGGGACTTGATGAGCACACGGATGGCTCCACGTGTGGCACAGAGCTGGATGACAACAAGACTTCGTTCTGGATTTATTCAGGGAATGTTGGGTTAGGCACCTGGGCCCTGGGACCTCAGGGGTCTCCCGGTCACCCTTAAGGAAAACACAAGTGAACAAGCAGAAATTGTAGCTGGTGCGACAGCGGTTCTGTTCTAAACGCGGTAGGAACCCAGGAAGGGAGGGAGGTATCAGGAAGTTCTCTAGACCCTTGATAGATACTCAGCGCGGTCTGAGGACCAGCAGTTCAGCGTCACCTGGGAGCTTGTTAGAAATGCAGAATTTTGGCCCTGCTCTAGAACTCCTGAAGCAACCATTGGGGGGGTGGGCGGTGGCGGCCAGGAATCTCATGTCCTGGAAGGTTATGAAGGTGACACTGAGCATGACCCACGTATCACACACCACACGCCAAGACTCTGTTACCCCGGCTGATGACTGAATCAAGCACCCCTGTCCTAGAGAGGAAGCAACTGAGGCCAGAGATATGTAGCCTGGTCCAGATGACAGGCAGAAGGTAGCCAGGTTGTACAGGTGACGTAATGCACAGAGCTGCCCAGGTGAGAGGCGAGTGGGGCTGAAGCCGCCTGCTAACCTGTTTTAGGCTGCCTCCCCCTCCAACCAGGGACAGAGTGACCAGTGGCAGTCTTCCCTGTGCTTTCATGTTTCATGGATCCCTGTCAGTCCCCAGGTGTAACCTTTGACCGAGGTGGGTCCCTCGGCCACCAACCATAGTCACTGGCCCGATACCTGCAGTGGGCCGTGCCTAGGGCGGAAGTCTGCCCAGCCCTCGACAGTGTTGTCTGCTCCCTGGCCCACAGGCCTGCCCATCCCCTCCTCCTTCCTACAGGGAGGGAGGCCAATACCATCCATCAACTCCTGGCTGATGAAAACATGAGAAGGCAGAACGACTATGTGCAGGTATGGCCCGAGGATGTGGGGGACCTTCTCTAGAAGGCAGGGGAGGCACTGACAATCTAGACAAGTGCCTGATTGGACGACTACTATGGCCTAAGCATTGTGAGACCCCTTACTATCATCCTCGAAATAACCCTGTGAAGTAAAACCCATCTCGAACGTGAGGACAGTGACGCTGGGACTGTCACCAGCCCAAGCAGCTGAGCTGGGGAGCTGGGTTTGAACCCAAGCGTGACTCCAGGTTCATGCTGGACCCACTGCTACTCGAGGTGTCTAGTGTCTGCTGCTCAGAAAACGGGGCTCAGCAGCCTCCTGGCAGGAGACCCTCACCCCCGACTTCTCGAGAAGCTGAGTGCTGGAGCCTTGGAACTGGACCAGGGCCTCCTCCCTGCTTCCCGGAGGAAGCAGCCATCAGCTCAGCGTTCAGAATCTCCCACATCTCTTAAAATGTGAATCAGTGGCCGTGAGAAGCAGAAGAGTTCCCAGAAGAGATTAGCCAGCTTCTAGTGGGGGAGCCAAGGCCTAGAGAAGGGCAAGACCTGGCCAAGGTCACACGGTCGGCGTAAAGCCACTTTGCCCACTGGGTCCTTAGTGCTCCTGGCTGGGCTGTGTTCTGTGCCACAGTGCTCTGGTGCCTCGACCTTTTTGAAAACAGGGAAGTCCTCCTGGCACGGCAGGGTGGGTATCGGCCAGGTACGGGGCCAAAATGGCACCCCTGAGCCCCGGGACCCCGCATCCTGGGTGTGGTGGTTGTGAGCCGTGTCAAGACCTGGGAAGCACTCGGATGCCAAGCATGTGTTGTTCTGAGCAGGGAAGTGCCCCGAGGTGCCAGGGCTCACGTCCCTTCCTACTGGAAGCAGAGTGCCTGGTCTGAGGACTTATTCTTGCCCAGGTCCCCCGCTCTGGCCAGGACTGAGGGCCAGAAGAGCCACAAGTAGAGCCAGGATTAGTAGCTGTCCCAGGGCTGACTAGCCATGGGATCCTGGCCCCTCAGGATCAGACCTTTTCTCTGTGCCCCGACTTCCCTCAGAAAAAGGGAAGTGTGCCGGCTTTATCAGAGGGCCAGGATGCCATGAAGGTTGCTGGCACAGAGTGAAGACGGGCTCCTCCGCGACCGATGAACCCACTCCCTTCCTGGCCCTCCCCGCCCCACAGAAGTGCATCAACCTGAACCGCCATGTCCTGAAGGCGGAGCTGGGCCTGGCCGAGAGGGACATCATCGACATCCCACAGCTCTTCTGCTTGGAGCAGCTGACCAACGTCCCCTCCGACCAGCAGACCGGGAAACTCTTTGCGAGGCCATACTTCCCCAACTTGGTGAGGGGCGCGGAGGGGTGTCCCCGGTAGGGGTGGGGGCGTTCTGCCAACTCTGGCTGGCCCCTTGACGTACACGGGGCTGGACCACAGAGGTGGGGGCACAGCAGACAACCGTGCCCAAGAGGAAGTGAGGTGGACGAGTTGGAGGAAGACCCTTCCAGGGAGCGGGTGCGCAGGGCCCAGGCTGGGTGACTCACCAGTTACTGTGGGCCGGGCCCTGGGCTAATGGCCAATCACTAGGTAATCCCCAACCTTAAGGGGTAGAAGCCACGAGGCCCACCTCACAGCTGGGGCCTTGTGCTCACCCACTGAAGGTGACCCCGCTATGCCAAGCCTATTCCAACGATGGCCCACAGCTGACCTTTCCCACGCACAGCTGTGACCCACCACGTGAGAGTGAATTCTGAGACACTTGAGCTCAATTCCTTGGACACTTGCAGACCCCTGAGCCCTAGGGACACGGGCCCTGCATTCATCCATCATACACGGGCATCTTTTAACTTTCCGTGACCCTCTGGGCATGGAACAGGAGCCTGTCACAAGCCACAGGTGTGGGCAGTCGTGGGAAAAGCTCCTCTGAGGCAGATGCTGGAGATGTGAAACACGACAGACGTCGACTGCCAAAGCTGAGAGTGGGGACACCGTTCCTGGAGAGGCACACAGGAGTCTGTTCAGGACTAACGGCCAGAATAAGAGAGAAACAGTGCAGAAAGACACCAGGGAAGGTGGCAAGGCCAGACCTGGCCGGACAGGATTCTGGTTTTGCTATTGAGAAACACACTGGGGGTGGATTGGAGGGTTAAGCAGAAGTGAGTTGGCTTTGCTCTGAGGTCGATTAGAGATCCACACAAAGGCAGCTGGCTTTTCCCTTACAAGGAACCCAGTGGCCCTCCCTACCTGGGGGGAGGAGCAGGGCGGCTTTCTCCCATGGCTCTGACCCTGCCTTGCCCACCTTGTCTCTGACAGCTGCAGACGATTGTGATGGGCAAGAACCTGGGCATCCCCAAGCCTTTCGGGCCCCAGATCAAGGGTACCTGCTGTCTGGAAGAAAAGATCTGCCAGCTGCTGGAGCCCTTGGGCTTCCAGTGCACCTTCATTGATGACTTTGACTGCTACCTGACTGAGATCGGAGACTTCCGCGCCTGCGCCAACGTCCGCCGGGTACCCTTTGCCTTCAAATGGTGGAGGATGGTGCCATAGGCCCGGACGTAGAGCTGCCAGCCCTGTCGCGGCATGAATGGCCCAGTCTCACCATGCCCCAGCGCTCTGATTCCTTGCCTGTTGGAGGACTGGAGAGTCGAGGCCCAACACCCCTTCCTCATGTTCACCCGCCCTGGGTATCGAGGGGGCGAGTGCTGCCAGCTCGGACCCCACGGGGAGCTATGTTCAGCTGAGAAGTGGTTACCAAATGTTCATTAAAGCTCTAGCTGTCTCAACGCACTTTGGCTGCGGCCTCGTTTTGGAGACGGGGTGGGGACATCTAAGGACAAAAAGCTGAGCCACTGGGGCACCTGTGGTCAGGCTGTCCTACTTGCCGGGGGAGGGACCAGGCTAACATTGAACGGCTGCTCCTTCCTCACCCTTAATGTCTATGTCTGTAGCAGGAAGTGGTTGAACTCAGATTATTCAAATTCTTCTCTTGCTGAAGCATCTGAGACTAGCTGGGTCTAGAGTCTCCAGCCGAATGTGAGACTCCAGGCTGGGGGAAGGGAGGGGGCTCCCCTTGGGCCTGGTAGGAGCGCAGCGGGCTGGTCCAAGAGGAGAGTGGCAGGGCGCCTTGTGAGAGAGAGCGGCGTCAGCTGGAGGCTCCGGTCCCTTCGGGGTCTGCAGGTGCGGCCTCCCCACAGGACGAGGCACAGCAGGGGTGGGCCTAGCCAGACTCTCCTTAAGCCTCAAGTGCCCAGAAAAGGAAATGCCTGCTCTAGGACCCAAAGCCACCAGTTGCCATCTGCCTGCCAGCCCTGCGTTAATGGCACAAAGATGCTATCACAGCAAAGGATTCTCAGGTTGGACAACCACTGCCGCCCCGACCCTGCCCCGCCCCGCCACGGACAGACAGGAAGCTCTAAGCAGCCAAGGCCCCTGGAAACCAGGAGGGCAGGTCTGATGACACCAGAGGGTCCACAAACGGTGACCAGGATTGGAGATGTCTGTGGCCATGTGTGGTGGCCCATGCAGAAGACGGCTCAGTGCAGAGCTCAGCCCAGTGAGCCTGGAGGAGCAGCGGCTGTCCACTCGGGCAGAGCAGTGACCGTCTGGCGGGTCTGAACACGGCTGGCCTCCTGGCGCCCCCTGGTGGGCAGCTGGCCACACTGCCTGTAAGGGCCGGTGCTGGCCTGCAGGGTCCCAGCTGGGACCAGGGCTTCAGTGGCAACAGGGCTCCCTTTTGAAGAGCGGGAAGGAGAATGTTTCTGGGTGCCACTGTTTTGGTGCTTTCCAGGCCTGCTCTCATTTCATCCTCTCAAAGCCCCACTGTGATGAACGGGAAAAAGTGAGTTGGGCAAGTGAGATGCTGCCGCCTCCCCAGGGTCAAATGTTTCAAGGGACAGAGTTGGGAGCTCCACTCGCCGCCACCCCCAGCACGGCTTAAGCCTAGAAGCTGAAAGACCCCCGGCCCGGCCCCCGGGGCCCCTTTGCGTGAGCTTCCACTCGGGCGGGAAGGAGATGAAAAAGCAGAGCCACCGTGTTCCTGGTCCCGATCGACCCAAACAGAAGCACGAAAGCCGAGACAGAGTAAACAACGATGTCATTTATTTAAAATGTTTACTCCAAGAAATATATATATAAAAAAAAAATAAGACAATTACAGCACTAAACCAGGCACCTTCGACCAAATCACAGCCTCTCCTTGGGCTCCCCTTCACTCTAAGCCTCTTCTTCCTGAGCTGGAAGACATGTCAGATGCCCGAGGGGTCAGCACAAAGCACACGCCCAGCCCGTGTCACCGTCCCTTTCTCTCAGAGTGCAGGCCGCAGCCCAATTCCTGGTTCTAAAGGATTTTCTCTACCAGGAAGTGCACTGTAAAACTCTAGGCCAGAAGGAGTGATCGTGGGCGAGGGGCAGGCTCCCCAGGCAGGTCCATCCCTTTCCTGCGCCAGTCCCTGGCAAGGGTTCCAGGAGGAGCTGGCAGTGGGCTTCAGACTAGAGCACGGAGGATGGAGCCCCGCGCAGCCAGGGCAGCTCCTGCAAAGGCCAGGAGCCGGGCCACAGCTCCCTCAGCCCCCTCGGTGACCGCACAACCCAAGGGAAGCTGTGCGGGCACGTGCACCTGAGCTGCGTTCCAGGACAGAGACCTGACCGGGGAAACTGATGGGTTCCACACATGGAAGCTTGAGTCAGAGATGGTGGTTGGGGGGTGATTTGGACAAATTAGGTTCGTTTAACAGAAGCTCTGGAGTTGCAGAAGCTTCTCCCCTGGACTATTGACGAACGCAGGACAGGAGCAATGAGCATAAGGTCAGACTAACTCTTAGAAAGATGCAGGCCAGTCTCCTTACTCGAGGCCTCGGGACTGGCCAGGACAGATACTGTTCCACACCGGGCAAAGGCAGAGCCACCATAAGGACTGACGGGGGGACGAGTAGGGAAAAAAGCAACAACGACTAGATCATTTTTGGCATTTTAACATCGAGACAATGACAAGTGGTAACAATAGCAAAGCAAAAGAATAAAAATAAAAAAGACCAGTATTTAACTTTCCCATCCACCCAAGTCTCACACTGAATTCTATCCCCGTCTCCCCCATAAGCACCACTGAACTAAAAGATCTATTTTAAAGCACCCAAACCAGTCCAGACCCTCTCAAAACCAAGAGCCCCAGCCAGAGCTGTCGCCTCTTTTGGGTCCAAGTGAGAGGAGGGTTCCGGGAAAGGCACCTCGTAACTCACGCAGGGCAGCGCCATGCCAGCGGCGAGCTCGGCGGGGACCGGGGCGACATCGCGGCATCCGCGCCGACACTTGGGCAAGGGGGACTTCTTCAGGAACCCCTCCTATTTGGTACCACAGCCAAGCAAACGTGACTAGAGAGCTGCGTGAGCAGAACAGGAGGCCGCGTCCAGGATAGACCGGGCCCTTCCGGGAGGACCCAGCCGGTGGGGGAGCAAAGATAAGCACAGGCGACAGAGGCAGGTCCCCGGGGGCTGGCCCTTCCTTGCAAGGACTCCAAGATGCACTTCTTACTGCTGGCTGACCAATCTCTAATGGCGAGTGCTGGCAAGGTGGGCCTGGCTCATGGCAGGAGCCTTAAAGCCAGGTCCTGAACCAGATGCACTGTCCCCACGTCTGCCACCCCGAATCCCCACTGATTCCACGATCACCTGATTTCCATTTGGACTTCTTTTACAGCTAAAGTAAATACAAATGGCTAAACACAGACCCCGGAGCCCCCACCAGGGGGGAACCGTAGATTCCATTAATGCCGCAGCCGGAAGGCGGCGGGGGCTGCCGAGGAGCCAGGGGAGAATCAGCACACACACCAGCCTCAGTCAGGCGACAAGAAAAGCGGGTGGGAAGTGACCCAGACGCTCCCACAGCACACGCACGATTCTGGATAGAGACCGACCACCAGGGACCATCTGCCTGGATGCTGCCGGTCCCAGAAAGGACGTTTTTTCTGAGTAAATGGTGACTCCTCTCCAGGCAGCACCCACTCGGATCACAATGCTAATAAGTATAACTGGAAAGGGGGGTTTTGAGAAAAAGGGGAAAAAAACAACTTAAAAAACCTACATTGCTCAAAGTTTCTGCCTCTTTTGTAGGAATGGTAAGTCAACTATGAGCAAATACTTTAATTAAACATTAAGAGAAAAAAAAACACTTTGGAAAGCATACAGAAAAGGTAGTTGACGTTGGATCACTGATGAAACGGAACCTCAGGGAGGCTAACGCAAATGCACCTTCGATCAGCTTCCGCTCTTCCCGCTTCCTCCTTCGACCTCCCGTCCCAGTGCACACGGAATGACAGCTGCCGCGAGGGTGAGTTGGAGGAGATGCGGAGAATCAGAGGGTCCGCGGGTTATACTCTGGCAGTTTCTTGATCTTCTCCTTCTCGGTCTCGCTTTCGTCTCTCGCTATCACCAAGGAGTGCGAGTAGCCCATGGCGACCTGGGGGAGCGAAGAGCGCTGGGTGTGCAAGGACGCCCCGTGCCAGCTGCTCGCTGAGTCTAGAGCAGACGAGCGCAAGGCCGACACTAGTCAGCTGGGCTGGCAGACGGGGTCAGCAGGGAGGCCTGCTGAAAAGTGCATGAAACCCTTGCTGAAGGCCACCCGTGTCCACGGACCCGTCACAAGCCCGTCCTGGCTGCCACGGGGAGACGAGGCAGAGGGTAGCCTACCGGGCAGGCTTCAACACCGCCGTCGGGGGGACTGGCGGGGACCCGGGACCTGGCTCCCTGCCCCCTCCGCCTCTCTGGAGCGCAGGCGCCACGTGTGAGGGCGCGAGCCCCATCTGCACCTCAGCAGACAACGGCTGGCAGCTGGTGGACGGAGCAGCAGGGGCCTCGCCTGCCATCTGCCCCATGGCCTGGCGGTGCGTAGTCGAGTGAGGGTACGAGGCAGACATGAGTGGTGCACCCCCGAGCCGACTGCCCTGTGACTGGACTGTGGCCAGTGTCATCCAGGGTGCAAATGGCCACCGAGCCCGCCCAGCAGGCCTTGAAGCTTTCTCCTGCTCGTGGCCATGACCCACCAGAAAACTCTGGTGTAAGGTGGCAGGGAAGCTGCTCAAGAAGATGTCACACACGACTCGAATGGGCCCCCGAGACCAGAGGCAGGACGAGCGAGGTGTGCTTCAGCACGTGCCCCGCTCCCAGCACCTCCAGCCCTCCCGGTGCACGGCCTCACTCACCTGCTCCGTGAAAACGCCGTCCAGCGTCTTCACCTCTTGAGCTGCCGTGGAAGACTTGGGCTTGTGGTCCCCATAGCCCTGGGGGGCAAACAGAGGGGGCGCTCAGAACCGGGGGCCCTGTGGCACAGTGCGCACGGGGGACGAGGGCGACATTCCTGGGCTTCCGTGACCCAGGAGCAGAGCTAACGACCGCCTGTGACGAGCCTGTCGTTCTCGCAGGAGGGCCAGGCCGCCAGCAATTCAACCCCAAGCAGGCTGCCGACGAAGCACTAGTCCTCAACTGGAGGGAGCCCGGGACGCCACAGCGTAACCTGTGGGGACCTATGTGACGACGGGTACCTCTTACAGAGTGTCACTGATGAGGCGACACCATCGTGGGCACAGGAAGAAATGGCAGCTGCAGCCCTTCAGGGCTACAAGGTCACAAAGGACAGTGGCCGTCGACGTCCCTGCCCGGTGGTCTGGAGACCAAGTAACCACCATCCACTGTTAGTAGTGACTCTGGGACACCAGAGTCCCCACCAGAAGCGGAACGGACTGGTCAAGGACTGCTTAGCGGAGTCCTGTGCAAAGGCGTGGGGACGGGCAAGTGAGGCCGCCGGAGCCCTCGGCTCAGCTCAGGAGCCCCCAGGGCGGGCGATGAAGGGCCTCCTCCAGCTTCCCCTGCCACCAGGCCCACCTCCAGCTTCCCAGTGAATGTCCTCCAATTCCTCGCCCCCAAGAGGCTGCCCCTAAAGTCCCCCTCATTCCACTCTAGTTTCAAAATTGGTATTCACAGTCTATTTCTGATGGGCCCTAAACACCATCTGTCCTTATCTAAGGACAATCCACAAAAGCTGGGCCAGGTTCTCAGGCTCTTTCCAGGTTCCACGTGGGGCCTCCCTGAGTGTGCGCATGTGGGGCTCCCTCTGAAGCCTCTAGACCGGCTGTGCGCAGGGCACCAGGCAAAGGCACCTTCAGCCCCCGAGTCCTGGCGATGGCTCACGGGATCAAGCCCTTCCTTCTCTCTCCACCAACCCCATCAGCTCCCACCCACGAGAGAAAGAAAGACGGAAGGGAAACGGACAGCTTCTCTCAGAAAGTAACGGAAACAGCCAGGCTGAGGACCACGTCACAACCAGGACGGCAGACCGTCAGCACGCGCCGAGCTGCTCTTCCTGAGGAAGAAATTAGAAGTGCAGGGCTCATCAAGCACCAGGCCCTGAGAATCAGCCCTTTGGCTGGAGAAGATCTAAGTACGAGGGAGAAATCGAGGGCCGTCACTGCTAACCACTCAACTGAGATTAAGGGCAGACACACAGGCCAACTTGATTTAGGAAAAACTTGACTTAAGACAACTATCCCCCAGTGACCTCAGAAGCAGGCAGGATGGCGCAGTGGTCTGCGCAGTGCGAGTGGCTAGGCTGCTGACTGAGCCAACACAGGCCTGGGAAACAGGAGCCTGGATGCGCACTCACACCACCGCCACCAGGTTTAAAACAACATGCTCTTCCTGTGGCTTTAAACCCTCCTGGGGAGGGGGAAGAGGAGCAACCATCCCCCTTCCTAGCACCCGTGTAACCACGACAACAGTTTGCAAACAGAGAGAAATCAGATCAGAAGCGTCCAATTTCTCTGTTTTACGATGCAGACAGAAAAGACATGCACAATTACTTGACGAGCACAGAAACGTCTTTGAAAGCTGATGTGACCCAAAGATTAGGGAACACTGCAGACCTCAGTGCAACAAGGGACAGACGAAAGACACTCACTGAGCCTATCTTTGGGAGCAGCAACAGAGCCCGGATCGGGGCTACCCCCACCACACAGGCGCCCGCTTACCAGCTCCCCGAAGGTCGGTGACGGGCCCCAGCTGATGGTGCTCTCGTCCGCAGCCACGAGGATGCTGCTCTTCCTGCAAACAGGCAGAGGCTGTCGCGGTGTCCACACCCCAGCCCCGTCCCTCACCCAGCCGCCACGGACGCTTCCTGTGGGCTACCGGCTCCAGAGCGCGGTGCCACTACGAGCTTTAAAACCGAGTACGTCCCATCGAAAGCTCCATGACACTCTCGTTTCCAAGTAACACAACACAGGGCCAGCAGGCTCCTCCTGAACCCCAAGGCTCATCCCGTGCAGGGCCAAACTGCAGAGCCCTCCATGCCAGCAACCACAGGGCCCTAGACCTCGCTGCCCTGCCCCAACCCGGGTTCTACGGCTCTTGGGCGGGAGTGTCATTTTTGGGTGAACACGCACAGCGGGAAAAGAAGAGACCAAATCAGAATGAAGTGAGAGCTCGCAGCAGAGGGTGGAAGCTGACGCTCACCTGGACAACGGCTGGAGACTTCAGCAGACTGAAGCCACACTGTGCGCCCGCCACACTGTGCACCCACCACACTATGCCCCCCACAACCTGGCGGTTGATTAATATAATCAAACTCCTCACCAAGAAGTGCTAGATAGCTCAATAGGTGTCCTCAAAATAAACTGAAAATCACTGATTTGACGATGATTTCTTCTTCCCAATGTGTCGGAGTAACTAAAATTTCCTAATTATAATTTTGAACCTGCAATGAGCAGAGCACACCAAGCCTTTGAAGAATAAAACCCCTCAATGACTTGCTTTTGGTGAAGGCAGGGGAACGAGCCATCCTGTCCAGGCTCTGCCAAGCCCGCCTGCCTGAGCACAGTGCTTCCCCTCCTGGCTCCAACTCAGGGCACCTGACGCCCAGACTGAGCGCCCGGGGCCCTCTCAAGAGAAGAGGCAGCTCCAGGTGCCTCCAACACACCCAGGCGACACTGCCACGTACCCACAAGCCAGGCTCCGGATTCTCCAGCCACAGAGGTCCTGCACGGCCTTCGGGTACATGGTAGATTCACGAGATGTGTTCGTGGCCCCCCAGAAAAACAGACCACCTGGGGACAGACAAACATGTTCCCACTGAGAGCAGACGTCTCAAGAGCCAAATTCTCATCTTCAGCAACAGCAAGGAGAGGAGACGGGACGGGGGCCCGAGCAAGGCGCTGGGCACGTGACCACAAAGGATCCTTCTGTTCAAAAGAGCCCAGGGACGTCAATGAAATCGAGGTTCCTGGTCCTGGAACAGGACAGTGGTGATGTGGCCCCCACGAGAGCACTCATCTGCCAGGGAGGGAAAGACTCTGACTAGGTTCTGGACACGTTCCTCCCGAGGCCCAGACAGGGAAAGCACTAACCCACTTCGCTGACTGCAAAGGAGCAGGTGTAGCCGGCGTAGATCTGGGATGCCCCACGCCCAGGAAAGTCGAACAGCTTCACCAGGCGGGGTACCATCTCGTCCTTCTGCTCGGCGTGGCCCAGCCGGCCGTAGCCACCGAAGCCCCAGGAGAAGACGCGCTTCTGGGAGTCCAGCACCAGCTGTGGGGACAGAGAGGACTCAGGGCTGGACCCACTGAGGGACAGAGAGGACTCGGGGCAGGACCTGCTGAGAGGAAAGGCCGACACGCCCCAGGTGCTGCTTTAATGACCACCCCATACACACAGGTGACCTCCCTCTGGTCACTGGTGACGTGAGCACATCGACGTTAACAACTTAAAATCTACCTTCCTGAGCTAGCCCTGATGGCCTAGGGGTTCCAGGTCAGCATGTTCCATTTACAGGGCCGGGGTTTGGTTCCCAGTCACGGAACCACATCACTCATCTGTCAGTAGCCACGCTGTGGCAGTGGCTCACGTAGAAGAACTAGAAGGACCCACAACTAGAATATACAACTACGTACTAGGGCTTCGAGGAGGCAAACAAAAAAAAAAAAAAAGAGGAAGAGTGACGACAGATATTAACTCAGGGCAAATCTTTCCCACCAAAAAGAAAAAATCTTCAGGATCCCTTTGACGTCTAATGTGTGAACCGTGTGACTGGAGAACCACGAATACAATCTGACAGAAGAGGCCTAAATGAGATCTAGCCTCCCCTGGCCAGTGTACGAAGGCCGGTCTGTTTCTAGACTCGAAGGGCTGGAATCCTGGGCCCAAGTCACTGTGAATGGGACAGGGAAGAAGATTCCAGGAAGGAGCTATACCCGAGGCCCCTCAGCCAGTCGACCGCATGCCAGGACAGCAGTGCGGCCTCCAGACCCCCAGCCCCGTTCTCTTTCAACAGACGAGAGAGGCAGGTTTACCCACAGACGTCCTCGGGCAAAATATCCACAGAAAGATAAAAAGATGTACATATAGAAACTTCACTGCTGTTTATCAAGTAACCTTTAAGGAAACCACCTTCATGATTAAAACCTATTCCACTCCCCCAGTACGGGAGATTGTCTGGAGACCCAGAAAGATGGCCACGACATTGTTAGACAAAAACAAAAGCAGAAAAATGCTTACTGCATCACCCTAACCCAAAACCCCTGTCCCTTCACTGTCTGCAGAAGTGATGGCGAGCTGCTTAAACGCCAGGCCCGAGGAGGCCAGGTGTGCAAGGCCACGTGGGCTCAGGTGCTGGCAAGGAGCGCAGATGCCCCTTCCACTGAGGGGACGCTCAGGAGGTGAGAAAGTCAGGCAGTGGGGCCATACCGTGTGGTTGGCGCCGCAGGCCACGTCTCGGACGACCACGTTTGGGACGGGCAGGATCTGCCCATCTTTCGTCTTCTCGATGAAGATGGCCACGCGCCGGGGCACCAGCTCGCAGTCGTACTCTATCCGCTGCGCCCGGGCAATGAACTTCCCGTCCGAGTTGTGCCCTGCAGCGACAGAGCCAGCCGTCAGCAGCAGCTGCAGCTGCAGCTCGGAGCACGCGTCCCAACCTGGCCAGCCGGGCCTCACCAGGACACTTTTGTCAACCAAGGCAGCACTGTCCAGTCTGAGACACAACTTATTAGTGACTCATGAATTCGATTTTGTGGCCTGAAACTAGTTATTTTAAAAAAATGAATAGAACCGAATGAGAAGGCTGTTATTTCGTGAAAACTCTTATGTGTGGCTCCACATTTGGAGGTATTTCTTACTGCGGGCTGCAGTCCAAAAAGCTGGAAGCTACTGATCCTAAAGGGATGTTCTATAAGGTAGTCCGTGCCCCTACCTCGGGGGGCCTCAAAGAACGCCTGGATGGGCCAGGAAAAGTTCAACGTACGATTACGGACGTGCGTTCTTATGGGTTACACGTAACCTAAGTCTATCATTCCAGTTGCTGAAACACTGGTCAGCGGCACATTCTCGTCTCCACCTTGCCTGGCCCAGTCAACGCGCTGAGAGAGCAGGGCGAGCGTGTGCTGGTGACACACTTCTCCGAGGTCACACCCGTGCCCTCATTCGGCAAGGGATCTCCTCTGGATTTGGACAGTGAGACTGAAAAGAGGTTTTAAGGCAAGCTGGCAAGTTAAGAATTACCCGGTTCTATAGATAAAAATCAAGCCGAGTTCTCAAACTGCCTCTAAATGAGTGTAAACTAAGCCAGTGAGACTCTGCATGAAGTGCCTAGATGCTGACTGGTCCACACAACCGCTAAGCGTCAGCCGTGATCATCGTCACCAGATCGCTTAATTTCCCTGAAGGAAAATCAACCTGCTACGACGAGCGGTTTGTTTGCAGATCTGGGGCAGCCACAGGCAGCAGGGGAGCTGCACAGGTCCGGAAGCAGACCAGGAGCACACTTCCGGTGCTCTGCCCCGGGGCTGGGCTGCGCCAGGCCTGTGGCCATGGAAACGGTTTCTCCGACAGCCTCCGGCAACTCCCTGGCAACCAGCAGTGAATGTGCGTAAGGGGCTGTGCTCTTCCTCACTTTGGACTCGCGGTATATTTAGTTTCACAAAGTCACTGTTCCCCAATGTCTAAGGCCAGTGAGAGGCTGCTCATTCTATTTATAGTCTCCCATCTGCCTGCGTTTAATGACGAGACCCAGCAACCCAGATCCGGGGGTGCGGTAGATCCGGAGTGGCATGCAGCAAGGAGCCAGCAGAGGGCACCCACTCCTCACCTCCTACTCGGAAGGGGCTGGCGTGGCGGGGAGGCGCCAGGAGGGGAAAAAAACACTTTGGTGTCAGATGGGAAAAGAAAATGGAGCCCTTGTAAAATGAGGATGGAGAGACACTTTCCACTGCCTGAGAACTGCTTTCTGAATCTCTTTTCTACTCAACGACACGTAAGTAAACGTGTTTCGGGAAGAGGACATTCTGTTTAGGGATGCGGGGCAGGGAGGTATGGCAGTCCCTTCGATACGTGGTGGCTCCTCACGCGTCTGCCTGATGACCGCCCACGCCAGGGCGTTCAGAACACCTTCATCTTGTGTCATTTTCTCAATTTCAATAAAGGCAAATCTTTAAGTACAAAACTAAAAAAAGGTGGTTGATTTTTCCTTCGTTTACAACTTGGAAACCCTTTTATATATATAAACGAATTCTCAAATCAGAAAAAAGAACCTTTTGTCAGACTTGAGCCCCGACTTTTTCATTAAGGCGAGTCACTGTAATGTGCTCCGTGTCTGAGTTATGACATGCTGTTTCACTAAATGTGAGAGCCACTTAATGGATCAAGGCCATTATCTGCGATCAATTACCCACATGTCTCACACGCGTGTGCAGCCCCACACTGACTTCTGGCTCTAAACACACGAATAAGAGAGCTTTTAAAACATCCTTCCATACCCAGCTGCCCGTATTCAGGGCACCCGAAGGAATACAGGTTCCCCTTGCAGTCCATTATCATACTGAATTCAGCCCCACAGGCCATTTTGGTAATTGGCTGGCCGTTGTACATTATCTGAAAAGGAAAGACAGTACATTTTCAGAATTTTTTTTAAAAAGATTGATAAAAAGTCTACCTCTCTGCAGGTTGGTATGAAAGTAGTACTCGGTTACAAAGGAAATTTAATGGACTCAACCATTCTGAAGGCAAAAGCTCAGAGCACATGTAAACACACACCCTCACGGGCCCCACCTTCCAGCACGGAGCCAGGGTCAGAGACAGGCCAACAGCACCCAGGTCTCAGTGCCCCTCAAAACGCCCATGCTGCGCCCCGCAAATCCTGGAGCCCAGCGAATGCTGGACTCAAGCGACCAGTGTGGGCACGAGGGCGACAGAAGACAAACCAGCCACGCTTAACCCCAAATCTCACCTCTGTCACTAGTGTTGCCATCAGCCCCAAATTTAAAAAGAAAAGCCTGCATAAGCATTCTTGCCAACCCGCCAAACGAACTGTTTTACATTCTCCTTACTGCTAGAGATACTTGATTTATTAAGTCTTAATTGAAGGTGTGAATAAGAAATAAAGCGGTTCAAAATTCGGAAGTTAAAAGGAAGACAGCAAAAGCCCTGAGTAATTTACTGTGGGATGTGGAAACAAATCTAACTTAGAAAACTCGCTGCTGCCCACCGACGGGCCCAGCACGAGCAGCGTTCCACTGCACAGCGGAGGCCAGCCACACGGGACGCCTCAAGGCCTTCCAACCACAGACAAGCCGGGCCACTGTCTCTGTCTGAGACCAAGAAACGGAGTCCCTCCCTCCACCATCTAAACCACTAATCAGACGCTTATCAGCATCCTGCTGCCTCATGTCAGCAGCTCCTTCTGTAGGTTAATCCTGCTCCCCAACTTCGTCTTCAGTCTCTCTAGAACAAGGACCATGACCCATCTGTGTTCTGAGACCTGGAGGGCGACTTCACGACAGGGTCAAAACTCAGAGTGTCTGCAGATAAAGACTAACCACATTCGGAACATTCGTCCCTTTCTTGGAAATAAAACAGGCTTACAACAAGGTTTCTACAACAAATTATTGCACAGAGAAAACGTGTTTCCAAGATGCTCTTCAACTGTGACCACACACTAAGCCTGTTCCACTCAAGCACACAGACACCCTTTTTGACAAGGGATCAGCTAACCCAAACAAGAGGGGGCAAGCCACAACCCCACCCCCGGAATCAGCCCCGAGGCCGGGTGGCACCTGTGCGGGGCTCGGGACCGCGTCCGTCTGGTTGCCGAGGCCCAGCTGCCCCATCTTGTTCTCTCCAAACGCAAACACGGAGCCCGTTTCTGGAAGGAAAGACGGACGTTACAAATGGGAAAGAACTGCTGACAGTTTTGAGTTAGATTTGAAATCAAAGGTACCAAAATAATAAAAACAGCTCATTTGTCAGGAAAAATGCACGAGACAGCATTCCAAAAGGTGGTGGATCAGAAGCTGAGTGTGCAGAGAAACCAAGGCACTGGCCGGCCTCCGCGGCCCACAGGTGAGGCTCCCAGCAACCGAAGGAAGCCACTCACCTGGGCTCTCGGGGGCATCTTTCTGATTGTGACCAAAGCCACAGGGCAACTCCACCCCGGCGCCCAAGGTGGACCAGCTGGCCTCTTGCCCTTCCTTACCTGTCAAGGCCAGGGTGTGGTTCCGCCCACAGGCCGCAGACACAATCACTTCGTGGCTGAGACCCTCAATGAGTCTGGGGGCTTCAACCCTCTTGGTGTCGCCATGTCCCAGCTGCCCCTTCTCATTTCGACCTGCAGACCAAGAGCAAGATCAATTGGGGGGGGAGGGACACTCCTGAACCAGGCAAAGCTGGGACCCTAGAAGGTGCCTCCCAACTCAAGAGCCGAGAAGAGGTGGCAGCAAGCTCCGGCTTCTCAGTCGAGGGCCAGCCACTGGAGGGCTGCCTGAGTGGGCTCGGGTGATGGGAGGACATGCAGTGCTGGCCCCAGAGACGTCTCCACAGACACCCGCCTGCCACTCCTCCTGACCCTCTTTTCTGGGGCAGCAGCAGGGACCCAAGTGAGCGCTTTCCGCAGCTCTGCCACCCAGGGAAACGGAAGAAACGCTCAGTGAGGCCTGGTGTCACACCAAGCAGTCAAGCTCATGGAACGCAGCTCTCACTTCTCACCTACCCGCCAGACAATTCCCTCGTTCCCTTCACTCCGAAAGGTGTTTTAAGACAGTAACCGTTTCTGACACCTGCCTTACAGGAGTTTCATTACCTCAGTGTTCTGGGCATCTACCGTGGACCATTTGGTTTCTCCCCATCATTCCTCTTCCTTTCATCTACCCTGCAAATGGTGCTCACAGAACAGTGCCAACCCCACCTCCCACGGAGCACCCTCCACAGGACCCTCAGCCACGTGAATCCTGGCAACAGAACAGGGACACACCTGCTCTGGACATCAGCCCTCCCAGCTGACGGGGCCACCGTCACCTCTGGAGCTGTGCAGGCTGCAGAGTCGGGGGCAGGAACACCTGATGTGGCCAACCCCTGCCACTGAGCCCTCTGCCACGCACAGGCCCTCTGGCAAAGCCCTTCAGCTCCCAAGCAGCCATGGCGAGTTGGGTGGGCCAGGAGGGTGGACGCCCGAGTCCTACCTAGTTTCTAACACAGGCCACAGCAGTTCCAAAGAAACAACTCAATGGGCCACTCCCAGGTCCCTCTAGCTGAGACAAGAACCACACTTGTGACCCAACACTTTGGGAGATTTGGGGAGATTTTACAGGGCCAAAGTCAGGGCGATTTCCCAGAGGGGGTGGGTGCAGAGGGGCTGGTTTCGCCCGTCCCAACGATGAACTTTTGATCTTTTGGTCACGAGAAACGCGGACAGCAGAGCCCCAAAGAGCACCAATCGTCCTGGAGGGGGCTTGAGGAGGAAGTGAACTGGCCATTTACATGAGGAAAACCGTCCTGGGACCAGCGAGGCGATTACGGCCCTCAGGCAGGAGGGGCAGACGCAGCTGCTAATGGGAGCTGCCCAAGTTCAGTGCGAAAGGCACTTTAAACACAGAACGAGCCCTGGGCGCAGGTTTCGGCCACACGAGAGGCCCGTGCGCTGGCAGGTGCAGGCCCGTCGGGAGTAGTGCGCTGTAGCACGGACGCTGCCTTCAGAGGGACTAACAGTGGGCTCGTGACATCCTCACTGGCACGTCACTTCCTGGGGCATCAAGTCTGCTCACCGGGACACACACATTTGCTCTGGGGCTTGGTTAGGTGCCGAGCCTTCAGAAGCTCTCCCAGGCCTGAGAAGCAACACAGGGCCATTTTTAGCAGCACCACTGTAAGTGAAATTCAGGAAAGAGATCAGAAATAAGCTACGTGAAGTCGGGCCCTCGACACAGGCTGCTGGGCTCGGTGCTGGAAGTGTGCGTGGACGGTGCTTAGGGGGGACACACCTCTCTGCCAACAGGAGAAAATGAACACGATGGCAATGTCAGCAAGAGACTATAAAGTATAAATGTGGGCCAGCCACACTTGTTAGCTTATTTTCAACAGAATTACAAAATTAGCAGAGTGCAGCGAAGACAACAGATGTTAATATATTTGGGCTTTGGTACAGCAGCTCATGAAACTGCAAAAATGGCTTAAACAGACTGAAATAAAAATGCAGTCACATGGGCGAAAAAGTAGCCAAAGGACCAGAAACAAAGGGCGGGACAAGTGCCAACAGACCCAGCCGGAAGGAGAGTCCAGGAGCCTCCAGAGGGCATGGGGTAAACTGAGGCTCAGTCATCACCTAGATTGATGACGTGGGAGAGGACAGGGGCAGAAGGCAAGGAAGGCTCTGCAGAGGACAGGGGGACGGCCGGAAGGGAGGCTCCAAGGAAAGCACAGGGAGCCCTCCCAGGTGCCCGGGCAAGGGAGTCCAGCAGCGAGAAAACAGATCAACTCGGGAAGGGTCAAGTCGACTCTTTGGCACGTTATAAGAACAAAGAGACCACATGTGACGAGCCACGGAACTGGCAGACCTGTGTGACCCCCAGAAACAGAGGGGCAGGACTGCAGAGACACAGGGCTGTCATGACACAGCTGTTATGGGCTGGGAGCGTTTCACGTGGCAAGAGCAGAGCTGACATCACACTGTGCCGCAGAGCGAGCAGCAGGCATGTCTGCCTGAAGGACGGCATACCCAAAGCAGGAATTCAATTCTAGGCACCTCGATATCGGAAAGATCCACATTCAGTCAGAATGTTCAGGAAAAGGTTGCTTAAAAAAGAGAATTCAGGGCCGGACCAGTGGCGCAGCAGTTAAGTGCACACGTTCCGCTTTAGCGGCCCAGGGTTTGCCGGTTCAGATTCCGAGTGTGGACATGGCACCGCTTGGCAAGCCATGCTGTGGTAGGCGTCCCATGTAGAAAGTAGAGGAAGATGGACACAGATGTGAGCTCAGGGCCAGTCTTCCTCAGCAAAAAGAGGAGGATTGGCAGCAGTTAGCTCAGGGCTAATCTTCCTCAAAAAAAAATAATGCAAAGAATGAGGGGGTATGTACAGACCAAAAAATAGCAGAAAAGTGGAGGAAGGCAATGTGTTCATAGGGCACAGGCAAGACTAGCTGGGGATTCGAGAGAGGGGATGGGGGCTGCAGGTAACGGTGCCTGAGCAGATGGAGGACGTCACCCCCGGGGTCGGGGGGGGGGAGGTGAGCCCAGCGCTTACCCCAGCTCCACAGCTTCCCTTCTGTGGTGATGAGGAGGCTGTGGGCAGCACACGAACCAGACACCACCGTCCGCACCCGGACCCCCGATAGGCACCCGTATCTGTGGGGCCCCCACAAGTTCTGACCGAGGTTGCGGTAAGCAGCTGCAAAGAGAACAAGAAAGCAAATCAAACACCCATCCAGTGGTGCAGGCAAAATTGAGAGCACCCCCAAAAACATCATTAGCCACCAAGGGTCCACGCCCTTATGTCCAACTACAGGGGCTCCCCAGGGGGCCACACCGGCCTGGTATCAGGAAAAAGTGCCCAAGGAGAAAGTGTGCACCTCGGACCAACTGCCCTGGAGCCAATGCAGACCTAGCCAGTGACCAGTCGATGCCAATGCTGCTCCTCCTGTCTCTGGCCCTGACCCACGGGGACCTCGGACCCTCATGCAATGCTACTGAGCGTGCCCACATGCGAGTGGCCAGAAGGCCAGGCGCTCTCCCTCCCGCAGGCCTGTTGGGGGAGGGGCCAGCTCATGAAAGCTGGCAAGGGACCCAGGTGTCGGCCACAAGGCTCTTCTGGAGCTGACTGAGCGTCCCCCTCCTCCACAAGACCCCTCCCTCCCCGCACATCCACCAGCATCAGCACACTCCCCTCCCTCACTCCTCCCACCGTTGGGGTCCTCCTTTCTCAGGGGCCCACTGTGTTGGCCAGGTCATGACCCCTTGCCTTTGCCCCTGTATTCGCTCCCCCAGAATGTTCCCCTCACCTGCTCCCTGCTTGTTCTTCAAAATTCAGGCCAAGCACCCCCTCCTCTGGGAAGCCCTCCCTGCCCATCCCCCTTTTAATTCGTTGATCCCTGCACCCTGTGAGTCCTACCACAGCACTGACCCTACCAGCTCCTGTGCCTGCCTTCCCACTGTCCTAGCACCTGAGGGCCCTGGCTCCTTCTGGCCAGAGGGCGTCACAAATGCGGCCTGGTCCTGGTGCTTAGTAAGCACTCTGTAACTAAGTACTGCATAACTAAGTACTCCATAACTAAGCACTCCATAATGTTAGAGTGTTAGAGGCAGCATGGGAGAGAAGAACAGGCGCCTCCTTCAAAGTCTCCACTTCACCCATTCGTGGACAGGGCATGGCCAATTTTTTGCTTAATATTTTCAACCTGGGCTCTCAAGGACAGAAACACGAGCACGTTTCTAGGCCTGTGGTGACGATTATGAAACGCCAGCCACGGCCACATCAATTGTGCAGGGTTGACCTGGATGTAGGAACGGAGGAAGAGGCCGCTTTCTCCATCAATTAGCCGGCTCCAGGGAAAGGACCTGACAGTGCCCAGCGTCAGTCCCCAGCCAGCCCACCCCGCCAGCAGGGGGCGCCAGGCGCACCCCCTCATTTAGTTACGGGGCCGCCAGGCAGAGGGCAGAGGCGCAACCTCCCCCACGACTCAGGATTGCAGGTCAGGTCTCTCAGCAGCACCCCCGAGCTGCTCCCCCTGAGGACACCCCTCTGCTACCAAAAAGAGGAAAAACAAAAATGTCCCGGGGAGAGAGCAAACCCAAACTGAGAGCCCTCACAGGTGACGCCACGGTCTGTCTACCAAGAAGGGAAAGGCAGGCGGCGTGGTCGACCCGCATCGCCTCTGAGCACCACGTGGTGCAGGGCACCCCAGGAGTGCACGGTGCCATGGGGACCCGGCTGACTGCACCTTCCCTGCAGCGGTTCCACGAATGCCAGCGCCCAGGGCGCCATCGGCTCGGGAGAGGGTTCCCCGCCTCCCAGAACCCTGTCCCATGGACCCTAGGAAAGCAGATGCCAGCAGCAGCCCTGGGCTTCTCGGCCAGGCTGGTGGCCATCAACTCCTGGGGCCAGTCCTGCTTGGAGAGGGAGCACACATCGCTCCCTCCCACGTCCCCCTGAATTTATAAAATCCACAGTAACATGCATCCAAGAGCCACAGGCCCCCGGCGCACTGGGGGAAGGCAGACTTCAAGGATGGGAAGAGACTGGAGGGCGAGGGTGGCAGGGGAAATCGTCCTTCTCCTCATGTTCGGCACCAGTAGGAAAACAAATCCCCCACTTTATGTCTCCTGGCACCAGCAAGGGGGCCTAAAGACAGTTACAAATACTTTAAAAACATACAAAATTTTCATTTGGAGGGAGAAAATGAGGGCAGTGAGGTGGGAAGGGAAGACAAGGCACTCCTACGTGAGCCCAAGTAGGGCAAAAGTCACTGTTTTTAACCTACGAGGCGGCTCCCCACTTTCTGCAGCTCCGGGGTGGTGGGGAGCTGAGCTGACACTGGGTCGGCCCAGCCGAGCAGCTCCACCCGCCCCGCACCCCAGGAGGCACCCCAGGCTCTGACGCCTGCTCTCCTCTGGAACTTACTTCCCCTCCCCGGGCCTGAGTGTCTGTCACTGCGCGGCGGCCACTCATTTGAAGAGCAGCTTTGAGAACCGATGTAACACACACACACACACACACACACACACACACACACACACACACACACACGGCTGGGCAGACTCCTCTCATGGGGGGGCGGGGGCTCCAGGTGATGCCAGCTGCCAGGCAAGCGGCAGACTCAGGCCCCGATGGCTGGGTCCTGAAGGCGGGGCACCTTGCACAACAGAAGACAATGGCTCGGACCCATTTCTAACTCAGCTGGACTGAGCGGTGCCGAAACTCCTGCTGTTCTCATGGATAAGATGATCCCCACCTCCTGCCTTGAGGCACGAGGAGTGTCAGTGTGCAAATATTTGTTCGCTGGGCAATGCTGGAAAGCACTTTGGCAATCTTTCCAAATGAAATTAAGATGCCATAAAATGTGGCGCCGTGCCAGCCTCACATCTCTTGGACGGGCCAGTATCCTCCTGAGCAAAGACACCAGCTTTCTAAAAGCACCTGGGGACAGAAAGTTACTTCATAGGACTTCTTGGCTCCCCCCACCCCAGACTGTTACTTGCTCTGTCAAACCAGTTCCTGCACAATTTGGCAGCTTGCAAAGAACTGTGGACTGTTCCGAAATGCCTAACAGTCTGACATCTGGTATGTGACAAATGTCTAGGACATTCTGACATCCCACAGGACCCGTCTCTTCATTTTAATGAAAATAGGTGACATGAGAAGGAAGATGGGAAGAAGGTGTCAGTATTCCTTTGAGGCTACTATTTATATTTTTTCTGTTCCATCTTAATGGCATTGGTCTTTTAAAGACAGAATTGTGAAGTGAGAGACTCGCATAAGACCAGAGTTCAAATCCGGCTCCATCACTAGAGTCGCTGTGTGGCCTCAGGCACGTCATCTGGCCTCTCTGAACACTTCTCTAATGAAGAGAACACCTACCTGGTGGGCAGCCACCAGACTGACACTGGCCCCCAGTGCACACACAGGAAGCACCCAATCCACAGTAGCATCTTACGTTTCCAGGAACAGTTTCTCATACCTTGTTGCTTAGGCACTTCTTTCCGACCAATCAAGTCCCAGTTGGTGGCCCCAAAAATCAAAAGCTGCCCTTTGCACTTAGACCCTTCAAGTTTCTACAGAGACAGAGAGAGGGAAAAAGAATTAGCTTGCAATGCTGCTTCCAGCTTTCCACGTCTGTCCAATGACAGCAAGAAACAAAAGAAAAACGACTCATTCATGGCGCTTTCACCCGGCACCCACCCAGAGGCCAGCGGCCCAGGGCATCGCCGCCGCATCAGCCCACCTCCCAAACCTGCCCCCCAGCTCAACTGTGATGCCCGGGCTTGTCTTTATCCTTTGACTTCTCTTTAAAATATCTCTCGCAAATCACTATAGAATAAGCCGCCAGCATTGTCCATGCTCTGCAGACTGCCTGCACAGGGACAGCAGGAGGCCTGTGGGCCACACACAGGTGTCACACCAGCTGTCCGTGGGGCCCAGCGACAATTTCCCACCGCATGCACGCTGCCCCGACGGACTTGAAGCCTTAGGAGCTGCGTCGTCCCTGCTCAGACTTCTGCCCAACCTCCCTCCATGTGCGGCCCGCGGGCCAAGCCCATCCAGGGGACTTCAGCGCACCGAGGTCAACCCCCTACCCGAGGGAGGGAGGCATGGGAGCGCGAGGCTTTGGCAGGGTGGGCGGGTCTGCTCTGGGCAGCCTCCGATGGGCTCATCCTCACTGCTGGCCCTGGAGCCAGGGACCAGGGGTGAAGGGAACAAGGGAACTCCCTGGGGCCGGCCCGTGCAAACGAGCGGCCGCCGTCCCCAGCCAAGACTTGTCACTCCTCACCCTCAGTTTCTCAACACAGAAGGTCACTAGGGCCACACACTCTCAGACCGGCAACAGGGATACGTGCCACTTAAAACAGCCACTGGCCAATTCTGGTGGCGCTCGTCATAAAACAGTCTCAGCATTCTGCTTTATGTCTGAAATGCCCAAGCAGACTTTGGAAAGTAGACTTTTAGTCAAGGATTCAATTCTGAACCACCTACTCGGTTCCAGTCAGGCAAGGGACGTAGTAACTTCCCGTTCTGCTTTCACCCTTTCCATCATCATCCCAAGACATTAAAAGGAAAGGAAGAGGTTTCCTTCTGTTTACAGAATTGTTCTTGGAAGAAAAAAAGGCCAAACAGCTCCAGATCCAGGCACGCTAACCTCTGCGCGGTGACTGCCTGGCGGGACCTGGGGGCACTGTTAGCATGACCACGTCTTCCCGATGCAGGAGTCCATGTCTTAGGGAACGCTGCCCGGCCCAGGGCCGCCAGCCCAGGCACGCCTGCAGAGTAGGGCCCGTAACACTCGCCTGCTCGGCCACGTTCACGTGGCTGGAAGATGGTCCATCTACAGGACTCATCCCGCAGTCAGAAGCAAGGGGAAACAAACCCGCCAGGAAAGGAGGCTGGCTCTGCCACACTTCAATTATTCAGAGAATGACCTTAATCAGAGGGTACTCCTACCCCGCAGCACCCAGACTCGGATTACTTGAAAGGGAGCCTGGTTTCCCCTGGTTATCTCCCTTTCTTTAACTGGCGGCCCTGGCTGGAACATTCTATAGGTCTACTGCAGAAGGAGAACAGCCATCAGTGAGTGAGTTCTGTCGAGTTACCCGCGGAAGGAGCAGCCCTGGGTCTCTGCCCGCATCACCGACTAGCTCTCCACTGTCCCTCAGGTCCACGTGCAGGCGGCAGCACAGACTCAGGCAGGAACTAAGGCACTGTGGGATGAGCTGCCAGGCCAGAGAACACAGGGAAAAAGATCCTGGAAAGCCTGTAACTCGGCCGGGGCATCACCCCTGCCCTGGCAGACCCCCTCCTGAGCCCCCCAGGCAGGCAGAGGGCTCTCAACCACTCCACACGAGATGTATTCACGACAGCGACAGGTGCCCGTGCTGCTGGCTCCTGCAGGACTTGCAGCTCCACCAGACTGCCAGACCTTGCTGCAACCACCCTGGGCAGGCGCAGGGTTTCCCTTGTGACCTGGAGACGTCAGCATTTGCACGGGTGGTCAAGCAAGGGCTTGTGGATACTGGCCCATCAAGCCAGCTAAGCATTTACATAAAAATCCAGACATAACCTTTGAGATATAAGGTGCTGGCAGAAATGAGTCTACGCCAGCGACAGTGGTCTGACTGCCATGCAAGGCACTGAGTGTTGTCTTACTTAGGTTTGTATGTCCTGGGCCCTATTTCCTCACGCTTCCGATGGAGATACCTGACTGCATTTCAGTGCTGTTATCTACACAATTGCTTGCTGTAGGCCACTTACCCTTGTTTCTTTATCATTAAATTTGTCCCTCCATCTTACATAAAATAAGGAAGAGAACTAACACAGTTTAAATCACAGCCCATGTCCCTCTTTGTCACAGGCCTGAACTGCCATTGGGTAGGAGACCCCCCAGTGCCTGCTGGGTCCATCCAGGACTCCAGTGACGGCTGTCAGGACTGAGAGCTGGAGGTGATGGGACCCTCCAAGGTGTGATCCACCTTCACTGATGGGCCGAGACTGTGTCTGGATAAACTCGGTGTCTGTAACATCGCATGTGTCTAAAGGCCACGTGGAGAGGCTGGGAAAACAGTGAGTGAATTTCATTTCACCTGCTGCCTCCTGACAGCCCGGTCACGTAAGCTGGGCCGGGATGAATGGCCACGGCAGAAAAAAGCACTGAGCTTCTTCAATCAACAAAATGGGGTTTCTGCTCCAAAGCCATTTTTGAATTATTGCCCAAGTGCAAGGAGCATGTTTCTGAGGCCGCGAGTCAACCTTTTAACACACATCCATTTAGAAGGCTGTTACTCTCGGCGAGGGAAGACGGGTCAGAGAAACGCCAGCAGAAACAAATTCCCTCGTGGGCTATCAACTGAAACAGACTGCAAGCTCGGCTTTCAGTGGTATTTACTTGGTCTTTTCAGATGGGAGCGATCTGTCTCAGGTCCACAAAACCTCAGCAACCTAACACTGAGAAAGCTACAAAGACCCGGACAGTGTACGACACTCCCCTATTTTCTCGGATTCAGCCAAGGCCGCCTGCTGTATCTTCAGGGTTAGGAAGTTTCCAGGGAATGCCGGCTGCAGCAACCCCCAACAAGCATCAAATGCTCACCCCTCACAACTACATATAAACCTGAGGTCTTTAGAGAGAGCATTTTCCGAGACTGAAATCATAAGAGTGTTTTATAAAAACACACATCTCTTACTCAAGGCCACTTCGCCCCTCGACCACACAAGTCTCTGGGGTTTGCCTTCCACAAGCCCAGTGTCTGCAGGTCTGAGTGAAAGAAAGGCAACATGGTTTCAGACGATTCCTGGCAGCTGCTCTCACACAACCACCTTCAGGCAGCCGGGAACAGTGGCGAGGCTTGCAAAACTCTCACTAAAAAGCTCCCTTCTAAAACAAGCTGGGGGTTGCCGTTGGCCTGTGGCAGCAGACAGGATCCCCAGAGCTGCTGAACCGGTGGAGACCCTGCGCCTCCCCTGGAGCCCAGGAACCTGGGGCCAGGGATGCGGGGCAGAAGGCCCACCAAGGACCAGGGGCAGTGCCCACCTAGGCCTGTAGAAGGCAATGGGGCAGCATGGGCCCAGCCTTGACACTGGACCAAACTCGACGATGCTAATAAGAACTTAAAACTTGGGGTGTGCACTTTCCTCGAAGCAGGAAAGAGCATCATCTGTTGACCCTGTCTCCTGGACGCGCTGAGCCGAGGAGGGCGTGCTGACCAGGCCAAAGGAAGCTGCTTGACGGGCCTTCCTGTTTTTTAAGGGGCAGGGGAAAGGGAAGTCTGTATACCCACATATATGTACCCCAGGAATTGAAGGGAGAAGTGACTTGTAAACATAAAACAAATGTCAACTGCGATGGACTGCTGTGCCTACTCACAGAGAGCACGGGAATCTCCTAGTAAGACGAAGAAAGGTGCCATTTCCATCAGACAAGCCAGCTGCGCGCTGTGCTATGGAGAGCCTGGTGTCCCTTGGGCCCTCTCTCTCCCCGGGTATCCCTTTTTAGGTACATTTCAGCATCGGAGTGAGACTCTTCTACTTCCTGACAACAAAACACATCCTAACAGTCGGACTGGAAACAACTGAGAACCCACAGCAGAGGCAGAGCCCCCCCTTTCAGTTTTCTCTCCTAACACCCGTGCTTGGGGGCAAGTGTGGGAGTCTGGCGTGGAGGATGAGCCGCGCTAAAGCACATAGTTCCCGTGCTCCAGTTTCTCAATACTGCAGCCATTTCCCTGCCACCGGCCTGGTCGCGACCCTAAGGAAGACGTTCCAGGCACACGGGCTCTCCTCCGCCATCTAACACGTCGACCCCATCGCTGGGAGCGCAGGAATAAAGCATTTTCGCACCAAGGTGCAGAGGCGTTGAGGCCGTCGCCGGAGAAAGCCTGAGCCCTGTGATCCGGGGTTGGGCCCTCAAACGGATGAGGAGCTGTGCCCGCTTCCTCATCTATAAAGTGGATGCAGAAACGCATCGCTTTAACCATTTACACGCTGCCTGCGCTCCACTAGGCGAAAGCACGCCGTCCTGTTAACCCTTCCACCCCCACCGCGGAGAGGAAAGGACCTCTCCAGAAGGCCAGACTCTGGACCCTGCACCAAAGCTCTCTCTTCTGGGCTGATGAGAACCTGGGGACACACGTCCCACACTAAGCCCGCGGGTTCTGAGGCTCACAGACCCCAGGGTGAGACCTCCGGCTCCGCAGGGTTTTGCGGGCACATGAGTCGGTCACGATCTTCGCTGAGGTTTGAAGGCCCAAGTCTCAGGAGCAAATTCAAGCCCATTCGGACCAGGAGGGATGCTTCCTCCTCGGGGGGGCCCGCACGGAGCGCATCCCGAGCACCCGCGCCCTCGGACCACAGCGGAGAACAAAGCCCAAGCCCCTCTCCGCCGGGGGCGGCCCGACCTCCGGGGAGGTGGGGGGGCCCTCGGAGCATGCGCCCTCGCCCCCGCCCCGGCGCCGGCCGCCCCCGCCTCCCCAGCGGCGCGAGACGGTGCAGGGCCACACGGGGCATGCGCGGCGGCCGCCAGGCCCCGCCCCCCCGGAGCGCCGGAGCCGAGGCGGCGGGAACCTCAAAGCCCCGGCGCAAACCGCCGCGCCCCGCCGCGCGCCGGCCGCCCCCTCCCCGCGGCGCCCGCGCGACCGGCGGCCGCGGGGGGACCAAGGGGCGGCCGGGGGCACGCGGCGCCACCTCTGCGCCCGGCGCGCGCGCCCGCTCCTCCGGCACGAGACAACTTGCAAAGTCTCCTTCCCGGGGCGGGGGAGGGGCGGCGGAGGGATCGGCTCGAGCGGCGCCGGGGGCGGGGCCATGCCCCCCTCGCGCGGGCTCCGGCCGCCCCTCCCCAGGCGGGCCCGGGGCGCGCGCCCCAACCGCCAACGGCCGCGCGGGGGGCAGCGGCGGCGGCGGCGGCAGCGAGGTCGGGTAGGCCGCGGCCCGCGCCCGCCCCCGGCCCGCGCCCTTTTGTTGCGCGGCGGCGGCGGCGATGATTCAGCCCGCGGCCTGCGCCCGCCCCGCCGCCCCCGGCCGGGACCCGCCGCGGCCCGCGCCCCCTCCCCGGCCCCGCACTCACCACGCGCTCCTTGGTGTGCTCGGGCTCGGTGATGACCACGGCCGCGCCGCCCGCCTTGGGGGCCGCCGGCCGCGCCGCGCGCTTGCCCCCGCCGGGGGCCCCGTCGAGCTCCAGGCCGTCCTCGTCGCCGCTGCTGCCGCCGCCGCTGCTGCTGCTGCAGCGCTCGGGCCGCTCGCGCTTCCTGCCGGCCGGGCCGCCGCGCTTCCTGGGCCCGGCGCGGGCCGTGCCGTTGCCCGAGCTCGGCTCCTCCCAGGCCGCCGCCGCCGCCTTCTTCCTGGGCATGGTCGCGCTGGAGGAGACACGGGGCAGCGGCGCACAATGGACGGGTTATAAACTGCGCGGGGGGAGGGGAGCCAGCCGAGCCACCGGCCTCCACTTCCTCCCTTGCCCTCCCCAAAGTGGCGGCCGCGGGGTGGGCGGAGAGGGGGCGAGCCGGGAGGAAATCGCGCCCCTCCCGGGCCCCGGCGCGCCTCCTCCGGGGAATCCCGCACGGGTGCCCGGGTCCCTGACCGCCATCCGCTCAGGGAAAGGAAAAAAAATGGAGACCTCCCCCCACCCGGCCCATGCTCAAGTTAGGTTTGCCTACATCGTATCACATTTGCAGCCTGGTCCCCAAAAAAGTAAAGGGGAAAAGAAAAGAGCCTCCGGTCCTCCAGGTTCTAACGAGAGAAGGCTTCGGGACACTTCAAAGATCCTCCTTTGGCACCCTGGTGATGGAGGAGCTCCCCCCTCCCCGGCCGCCCCACCTGCTGCTTTTGTCTCCGCGGCCCCCTCCCCAAGCCCACTTAAATGCACTTCTCTCCGAGCCCCCAATTCCCCCCCAGCCTGGGGGTTCCGACTTCGGGCTCTAATTAGCCGAATCCCTCGGGATGGGCTGCCCCCGCCGTGGGGGGGAAGGGGGCAATAAAGCCGGCCCCCAACCCCAAACACCTGCTGGCACAGACAGGAAAAAATAAAAACTTTAATGGTGCCCAACTCTCTGCCGGCCCCTCCCCGAACGTGGGGCCCGGCGATCCTTCCGATCCGGGGCTGCAAAGTGCCCGGCTCCGCCGCTACTTTCCCCCGGTCCCTGCGCTTTCGCCTGTCTGCTTTTTTTTTTTTTTTTTATTGATTTTGAACAATAGGATCTCTGTCTGTCTCCGATTAAACCACGTGGATCCGCCTTCCTTCCCCTTTTTATTCATTCAGTCCCCCAACCCCCCTTCCCCAGGTTTTTTTTTTTTTTTACCTTTTCTCCTCAAGGGAAAAAAAAAAGGAAAAAAAAAAAAACTTTCCCAGACCCCGCAAACTGATCATTGTCGATTTTGATTTTCAGCCCCTACCTGGTTGGAGTGATGAGAAACCGGAGAGAAAAAGGAAAAGGAGCAACTAAAAGACGAACCGAAGGGCTTTTTTTTTTTTTTTTTTCCTCCCGGCCCAGACGAGGGCTCCAGCCCACTCACCAGATACACTTAAAATGTAAATACGAGCTTCCAGAACAAATGCTACAACACAAAACAGAAACACATGTGCGGCCGGGCGGCAAGCGAGCGCGCGGCGGGGCGAGCGGCGCGGGGCCTGGGGCGCGCGCGCCCCCTGCCGGCCGGCGGACCCCGCGCCCGCGCCCGCGCCAGGCGGCCCGACCCAGCGGAGCCTGCGCCCGGCGCCGCGCCGCCTGCCTGCCTGCCTTCTCCCCGGTCCTCCGCGGGTCCCCGCCGCGCCGCGCGTCTCGGGCCGTATGCGCAGCGCGTCCTGCGCGCCCGAGATTTCTTAGGGGGTTAGGAGAAGGTTAGATTGTTTTTCCCGGGCACGTCTAGACAGGTCACCTGAGGACACTGGCTGGAAAATACTTTGCTCACGCATCTGCCAGCAAGGGACGTGCCCTAATTGAGTGATTGGAGGGAAAGAGGAATGCGATGTGAATAGTTGTCTCCTGTGCAGAGAGGAGCTGTGTTCCGTTTGCCTACGGATGGATCCAGCGTGCAGTAAGGTGCTGTGACGGGGGAGGGCTGCGCCAGCGTCTGCTGTATTCGTGAATTACCTAGCCAGTAATTCCGAGGCCCAGGATGCACTGGAAGCTAGTTTTGATGGGAATTTTTCATTTTTTGACAAATATTTCCTGGGCCCCCAGTCCAGGCAAGACACCCAGTTCTAGGTGCTGGGGGTACAAAGCTAGAGAACACGGTTTCTGCCCCAGTGAAGGCACAGTCTAAGAGGAAAGATAGATAATCAGCAAGTCATTGCAAGTGTCGTTAAGTGATGGCGTTTGGGACATGCTACCCCAAAATATGGCACCTTGGCATATTGAATATTTTAAACTAAAGGAGTTTTGAGAAAACAGCAGGTCTGTTTTCTGCCTAAAGAAGCAACTTCCTTGTGTCAGTGTGCCTAAGAAAAAAGGAAGCCGGTAAAAATTTTTAGTAGGAGACCAAGTGTCACTCTGACACCTCCCCCCAGCCCTTCTTCTCTAAACTGGGCCTTAAACCCTCAGGTGACAGGTGGCCTCTCTGTCCCAGGAGGGAAGGGACATCCCGATCTCCAAAGACAAAGGGTCACTAAGAAGAATCCTAATAAACAAGCTTTGCTAATTTTCCCCCAGTCTGTTACACGGACCTCATACCCCTTACCCTATCCTAGTCCTCAGGACTGTCCACTTTTCATGAAACCTAGCAGAAAAATACACAGATCTGTCTCTTTGGGTCTTCATTTCCTTAGGAAGCCTCCCGTGTCACGTAAAAGTTATATTAAAATAAATTTGTAGGGGCCGGCCCCTTGGCCGAGTGGGTAAGTTCACGCGCTCCACTTCAGTGGCCCAAGGTTTCGCCGATTCGGATCCTGGGTGCAGACATGGCACTGCTCGTCAGGCCATGCTGCGGTGGCGTCCCACATGGCACAGAGGCACCCACAGCTAGAATATACAACTATGAGCTATATGTACTGGGGGGCTTTGGGGAGAAGAAGAAGGAAAAAAGAAAAAAAAATGATTGGCAACAGTTGTTAGCTCAGCTGCCAATCTTTAAAATAAATTTGTCTGCTTTTCTCCTGTTAAGCTGTCTTTGTATAATTTTCAGACCCAGCCAGGAGCCCTAAGGGGATGGAGGGCAGCTTTTTCCTCCCCTACACTGGCAAAGCAATGCCTGTGTAGGACCATTATGGCAAGGGAATCCATCCTATTCGGGGTCAGGGAAGAAGGAAGGCATCCCTGTGGAAAGGTAAGCTGAGTGGCTTACAGATGGATAAGACTCACCAGATGAACAGGGGTGGGAAGGCTATCCCAGGGCGGGTGGAGGGAAGAGCACACGCAGGAGTCCAGGGATCTTGAGTGTCCTAAGGGGCTGGGCGAGAAGAGCAAGGTGGCTAGAGCCGAGGGAGTAGACAAGGACCATCTCTTGTCGAGCCTGGTAAGCCATATCAAGGAGTGATTTTTTTGTTTTCTTTGTAAAGATTGGCACCTGAGCTAACAACTTGCCAATCTTTTTTTTTTTTTTTTTTTTTGCTTTTCCTCCCCAAATCCCTCCAGTTGTGTATTTTTAGTTGTAGGAACTTCTAGTTGTGGCAAGGAGTGATTTTTGCTAGAAGATCTTGCTGGCTCATCCTGGGAGGGAGGTGAGCTACTGGTCTCCTCTGCTACATTGTGAACTCAATATCACTTGGTCTACCAAAGATTTTTTTTTTTTCTTTGAGGAAGATCAGCCCTGAGCTAACAACTGCTGCCAATCCTCCTCTTTTTGCTGAGGAAGACTGGCCCTGAGCTAATATCCGTGCCCATCTTCCTCTACTTTATATGTGGGACGCCTACCACAGCATGGCTTGCCAAGCGGTGCCATGTCTGCACCCAGGATCTGAACCGGCGAACCCTGAGCCGCCGAAGTGGAATGTGCGAACTTAACCGCTGCGCCACCGGGCCAGCCCCCAAATCTAGAGAATTTGATCAAAGTCGGAAGTCTGCATGTCCAAGGAACCAGGAGTGCTTCTGTGAAGGAATGTGGAGACTGAGAAATCATCTGGTACATTTCAGAGGTCTTCAGAAAGGTCAAGAGAGGGAACAGAAGCAGCCTTTGAAAGCTTCTTAATAGACTGATATTAAAAAAGATTTAGGAGATTAAACCTCAATGCTTTGATATAAAACATAAGTAGAACCAACCAGAAAAGAATCTCGCCTAAATATGACATCAAGTCCCCTTCAAGAAATGGCGTGCTGGTGCTCGTCAGGCTGCGGCGGTTGGTTCACTGTTTATCCTCCAAACGCCCTGTGTGGCCCATTAGGAGCCCTACCAACAGCACCTTTAGATTTCAGCCAGCGAGTCTTTCTCTTTTTTTCTCCTTCCCCATCATAAAGCTTTTTGCCAGCGTGAAAGCCACGTGCGTCAGAACGCCTGATGCAAGAAGACGCTAATATCAGATTGCATCATATGATCCTAGGTGTGGTCCTCCCGAAACTGGTTTTTCTTGAGATTGTGCTGCAGTCGAAAGCATTTTGGGTATCACAGCCGAGAACTGGCCCTACCGGTCAGATGGCAAGAGTCATGTCTGCATCTCTGCACCTCAGTTCCTCGCCGCCCTTCTCCTGGGGAAAGCCAGTGTGGCTTTCCTGGCTGAAATGGGTGTGCTGCAGACATCCATCAGTTAGGCATGTCATCCTGCTGCTTATGTAACCGACGTCACCTAGGGAGGTGCACCGACCAGGCGAGCTGGAAACAATCTTTCTTCCTCTGAAATGTGCTGTGAATTGGATCTCCCTTGAATGCAGCCATTTCTCTGGGGACAGACTGGTTTGGTACAAAAGTGAAAGAGGAAAAGGGAAAGAAGGTGGCTGAGATGTCTCGGGCACTTACTAGGTGGCTGGCACTGTGTTATAAGCACTTCACGCACAAAAGTGTGGAAATGTGGGTTCCCTCCCAGCCCGCCATCCCCAGGACCCGCAGAAGGCTATGCGGCCTCTTCCAGTGTTCAGTGAAGTCACATGTCAAGTTAGACGAGGCCACATTTAAGGTTCCTCCCAGAAATGGAATGGTATTTAACTTGGCCCCAGAAAATTACACGTCCAGTTGGCAGATTAATTTCCTGGTCACGGGTCTATAAAAACCCATCACTGATCGTGGGGATGACGCTACTGACCAATGGAGAATTGGTCCTGGCGGTCTGTGTTTGTGAGATTGGGTGCGGACAGGATAATACAACTCAGATCTTCACCATCCAACATGGCAGCCCCTGGTCACATGAGGCCGCTGAGCAGTAGAGATGTGGCTAGTGTGAACGAGAAGTGCTGTGATGTACTTATACTGGACCCCGAAGTCTTGGTGCAATAAAAAGGAATATGGACTATCTCATTAATAATTTCATTGTATCGATCACACGTTGAAATGGGAATATTTTTAACATGTTAGGTAAACGTAGGATTCAAATGAGTATCACCTGTTTCTTTTGAAGCTTTTCGATGTGGCCACTGCAAAATTTAAAATAACATGTTTAAAATTTTGTGGCTCACGTTTTATTTCTGTTGGACAGTCCTACCTTCGAAAGCGTAGCTGGAAAACCAGTCATTTGCCGTGGACCCAGCACTCGTGGCCGCCGATCTCTGGTTGCCCCCGTCTGTTAAATGGTGAGAGAGAGTTTGGGCTGAATTTCTCTTGTGGTTACTTCTGGATTGAATACTCCCTGATTCTGAGAAGAGTAGTTTGAGGGGATCCTCGTCATAGTGTTTGGAAAGATGTTTTCTGGGAGACGAAGATCTTTTAACCCTGTTTCTGCCAGGAGAGCCTTGAAATTTTAGAATCCCAAAGGTCCTTGAATATTATCATTGGACCTTTAAGCCCCCCAGGCTGCAAGCCCGTCACGGGCTGGGCTTGTGGTTCATTCATCTTTGTTTTTATAGCAAGCACCCAGGGTGGCCTGACATGTAGTAAGCTGTTCATATATGTTTGTTGATCTATATGATATCCAGCTGGAGAACTGAAGCCCAGAGAGGCTCTGAGACCACCTAAGGCCACACAGCTGGCTTGTAGGAGAGCCAGGAAGAATACAGGTCATTTCAGGAAACCCTTGGTGTGGGCCCTGGACCAGCAGCAGCTACATCACTTAGATGTTTGTTAGAAGTGCAGAGTCTCAGGCCGGGCCCCAGATGGCCTGAATCTGAGTCTGCATTTATAACAAGACCCCCAGGATCTCACAGTGTAAGAAGTGCTACTTGAAGTCATGCCACTTTTTTCAAGGAAGGCGTCGCTGTCTACGCCTTGGGGAAGCTACTCCCAAGTGTAATTCCAGGAAGAGGAGGTACAGGAGGCCAGACACCAGGACTCCCATGCTGGCCTGCTAAAGACGAGGATTTAAGAGAATTCAACAAATATTTACTGAGCCTCCACTCTGCCCAGCACCCAGAGCCAACGCACCACTTCTCTTCCTGAGGGTTTGAGGGACTTCCTCTTGCGTAGCCCCAGTCACCTGCACCTCAAGAAACAAGCCGCTAAGGCAGCCCTGATGGCCCAGTGGTTAGAGTTCGGTGCTCTCACCGCTTCAGCAACCCAGGT